GATGAAAAAACGGACTATGTATATACATATATGCTCGTACATTTCTAGGCAAGGAGCATAAGCATGGGCCTATTCTGATCTATGGACCCAAGTCCTCTGGTAAATCCTCCATTCTCGCGCGCGTCTACCAAAACTCGCCTGACTGGCTTTCAGCGCCAACACTCCGCATCGTCCGACTGTGCACTGCAACACCTCGATCCGCTTACAGCTTGGAGCTCCTCCGTATTCTTTGTCAACATGTTGGTTTTCTTTCCGGTGACAACGATGGCAATCTACCACGCGACGCCTCCTTTGATCCGCTCTACCTCAATAATTGGTTCAACCTCATCATGCGCCGCATAGAGGAGCATCCGCTTCCGGATCAATTAATTATTCTTCTCGACGATCTTCATCGCTTCCATCCACTCGAGTGCGATATTGTCGCCGCCTTGTCCTGGTTACCGCTCGCTCTTCCCGCAGGCGTCCATTTCGTCGCTACGTCCGCGCTTCCACCTGAAGGAATGCGTCTTACGCCGCTTCAAAAGGATCGTTTGCGCAGCGCTGACATTCTTGTTGATTTATCTGGCTGCATATCTGCAATACCACGCGTCGACGTGGCTTTGGAGCACTTGGAGGAGCTTGTTGGACTTGACGCTGCTAATCGAATTGCTTCGATTCTCGCTTGCACTGAATACGGTTTGTCGGAGACAGAAATACTTGAATTGATCATGCCTACTGGAGGAGAAGGACCTTTGCTCCTGGAGGAGAGTCAATTCAACTTTGCGACTTGGTGCTTGGTCAGAAGAACATTTGCACCGTGGCTCAAGGCAAGTCTTATAATAAGTATAATAGATTAGTCTCGACACAGATAATCGCTTTTAATTTCATTTTAACATTTCCATATTACTTTTCGTACATTTTTATTTTACAAATTATTCTAGGTACGAGTGATGAGCGGACGATTAATGTTCTCCTGGCGCAATCAATTTCGCGAAGTCGCTCTCAGAAAGTATCTTTCGAATCAAGATGACTCTCGCAGCTATCACGCGGAACTGGCCAGTCTCTTCTTTTCCGAAGATGCCGATGATAGCTCCGATAAATCTCCGAAGAATCCAGCCTCTCCCGTTGCCAAAGAAACCCCGTTTCAAAGCGCGCCGCAAACGCAGGATCTTACATATACTCTTCGACATGTTGAAGAAGCATGGCTGCACCTTTTGCGAGCTTCCGACGTTGATAAGCTGAAGAAACTCGCCGTTTGCGCGTTCGATTTTCTTCTTGCGGCTGTTCAAATGATCTCTGTAAGCTATCTTCGATGCGTCCTTGAACACGCTAGACGGTATCTCCTTGAACGTGACTTGGAACTTGTATATTATGCTGTGAGGAAATCTAGCGATGTCCTTACCAGGGATCCGCTTCAGCTCGCCGCTCAGCTCATTTGCTGGTTAAGGCCGGTCGCTGAAGACGGCGGTGACCTCGTGAGTCTTTTTTATCTGCTAACAATAAAAAATGATATCGATCCACAAAAAAGCTTATTCTACCACTTCATTAAGGTTAGTAGAATGGTTATGGCAGCTATGGCTTGGTGTGATGGTTATACCGCTCCTTTGCTCGTACCCTTGAACGGATGGCTACAACCACCTCTGCCACTGCAGATTCGAGCAATTACGTGTCCTCAAGGGGTCAAGTTAATCGAAGCGGCACCATCGGGTCAACATGTTATCGTTGTACCACCGCAAGGAGATGCTCAATTATGGCACGTAATGTCGAGTCAGCTCGTTCATACTTTCAAAGGTAAAGACAGAAATTTCATATGATATAAATTAACGAATTATTTAAATTGATTTTTATTTTATTCCAAATTTCAAGGATGTTTCCATCATAATTTTTCATAAAAAGATTAATTAATATATTTATTTTCTCCCAGGACATTCCAGTCCAATCTCGTGTTTAGCCGTTACTCATTACTCACAGTATCTGCTAACCGGCTCCGAAGACACTTCTATTATCGTCTGGGATATGAAAGAGCTTATCATGAAACGTCGAATTTGCGAGCATATCGCACCAGTTCTCACTTTAACCACGGCCCTTAACAATTCTGTTATTGTAAGTGGTGGTGAAGATTCCAGAATTATTGCCACCAGCTTGCTCACTGGCGAGGTTCTAATGAAAGTTGATCATCATCGTGGTCCTGTCACTACTATTCGCGTTGATTCAGCGGGGGAAGTCTTGGTTTCAGGATCAGTCGACGGAACTGTGTGTCTTTGGTCTTTGGAAAGCTTCAGTCTTCTTAATAGCATTACTCTTCCTTCTCCGGTGGTCATGTTAGACGTGTCCGCGGATTCAGTTTTTCTTCTAGCCGCTTGTGAAGATCAGAAGCTCTATCTGAGATCTTTGGCAACAGGCACGGAGATCCACACGCTTAGAGGACATCAGGGACCAGTTAAAAGTCTCTGCTTGGCAAAAGATTGTAGAAGAGCTATCGCTGGCGGTACCGAGGGCAGAGTATCCGTGTTCGATATGCATAGCGGAAAATTGATTAGAACCTTACCTGCTAATCCATCGGCAAGCGTCACTTCGGTTAAGGTGATTAAACGCAAAATTACAATCACTTTTTTTCTCATTTACGCCAGTTTCATTGTTTTCTTCAATCTTTTGTTCAATCTCTATAGCATTTCTACTTTTGTTTCTCGCAGGTAACTGAGAAAGATGATTTTCTGATAACTGGTGGAGGAGGTCGTGTGACTTATTGGAGCTTCCGCGGTGAAGAACCACCGCCGAAACCGCAAAAACCCGGAAAACAGGATTCTTTACAACCTCATACCGCGCCGATATCCTGCTTGGATATTTCCAGGGATGGCGCAATGGCAGTCACCGGTGGTGTCGATTCTTTGGTTAATTTATGGCAGCTGAATACTCATGAATTGTTGTCCACACTGGAAGGACATATCGCTAGTATCACTTGCATTGCATTTTCCGCGTCAGGACTTTTTGTCGCATCTGGTATATGTTTTTATATCTTATAAAATGATTTCTTTTTTTATGATTAAATATTTTGTTGTTAATATGTGTAATTGTATTAAATAAAAAATAAAAAATTCTTTAGGATCTGAGGACAAGACAGTGCGCGTGTGGGGTTTGACACTGGGGCTTGTCGTAGCTACGTTCAGACATCAGGCACCAGTGACCGCTGTCACCGCTATGCTGGATGGAAGGAGGGTGGTCAGTTCAGATCGAGCTGGCGTTATCAGAGTATGGGCAGCAGATAGTGGTACACTGATCCAATCTGTTTGCGGACCTGGACGATGTTTTGCTGTTGCGTCCGATATGAGGTAGGACAAAAGCAGACCTATATAATCCTCTATGCTGAAATATTCTTTATCTTGCTTTTCTACCTATATTTATTCCTTACATTTTTATCAGTATAATTAATTGTTAATAATTAATTGTTTGAATCATTGTTCGAATTTTATTTGAACTTTAATCGCTTTTTCGTAATATCAATATAATTAATTCGTTACTTCAGATATGCGGTATGCGGATCTGGCGATAATCAGGTGCGCATACTCAGTCTGGGAGCCGGTCCCGAAGAAAAGCATCAAGTATCGCACTCGCAAGATATCACATGTTTGGTGGCAACGCCCGATTCTCAGTACCTGATCACTGGATCTCGCGACATGAGCCTAAAAGTGTGGCAATTGGTTGGCGGTAAACTTTCTCAAGTGTTGGTTGGCCATACCGATCATGTAACTTGCGTTGCAGTCGCGGTGCTTGACAAGTCTATAGTGGTATCCGGCTCCAGGGACGCTAACTTGATCGTCTGGGACATCAACACCGGAACCGATTTGCATACTCTCACAGGTCACCTGGGTTACGTGACTTGCGTACGTCTTTCCGGCGACGGCACTTTAGCTGCTTCCGGGAGCGAGGACAAGAGCCTCATTGTCTGGGATACGAAGAAGGGCACTCCGCTCAGTTCCATCATGCTACATGTACCGGTTTTAGGGGTTGAAATGTCTACCGATTGTTCCAGGATGGCAGTGCATTTATTAGAACACAAATGCATGCCTATTCTATGTCTGCACAATACTCCTGCACAATATGTCAAGCTGCCGTTGTATGTAGCGCCACGAGACTTGAGACCGCCAGGACCAAAACGACCTGCTAGAAGATTACTGAAGAAGGAGGTATCCTTAGATACTTATACCTGGCAACGAAAGTATGGGCATCTTACGTCAGGTATTTGATCATTTTGATTATTAATTATTAATTGTGATATAATTTTAAAACATCGCTCAACAAAACCATATAATCAAATTTAAAAAAAATGAGATATACGAATTTAATTTATATAATAATTTTACATTTATTTTTAGATATCAGAGTCTCGAATATTGAGAAACGTCGTTTTAGCGTGAGTGCGTCTATGGAAGAAATCAGCAAAGCAGGTTTAGCCGGTTCTCAACCTGGTTTAGGCCCCGAACAGGCCGCTTTAGCGCAATCTCAACATTTTGATCAATTGGAGGCGCTTTGGAACAAGCAATCGCCGCCACCAAGACCACGTGGCCTAGCCCGAACACTAACGAAGCAAAGTTCGCTCCAGGCTACCCGAATATCCGATTCTGAAGAAGAAGGTAAACGTGAAGACACGTAACATTTTTATTTGCTAATTTATTCGAGCGAAAAAATGATTTATGTAAGAATATACGAAAATTAAATTAAGAGTGATAAAATATTATATGTTGCAGATATACCCGATTAAATGGTATCAGAATACTTTTTATCGACAATTTTCGTGATTGATTGTCGAATATATTTAAGTTACAAAATGTCCTTCCGTGTCATTCGATGCAATAAATAAAGATATTCCCAGAGATAACAGACTAGCAACAAAATACAAGAATTGTTTTATATGTACATATATTATCGCACTTTTTAATTCCATAATAGTTTATCAATATACCTGATATTTCGTTAATATTTTATTTTATTATATTTATTACTTCAAATAAAATTGTAAAAATAATATCAATGTTGTATGTATACAATATAAAAAAGTATCAGTTATATTATGTCATTTACAAAAATATCAATTATTTATTCCGATAATTCGTCTTCATGTGTGCGCAGTTTGATAATATTTTGCGATAATTTTCCATGCTTTCGGCGCCATGAAACCTTCGGGAGGATCTTCCCCATTTTTGGCCAAAGCTTACGTAAAAGAAAATAAATATTTTTATAAATCTTGTGGAGTTATGTATGAGCCACATAATTGAAATTAATATCAAATTTTGAGTTAATAGATAATTTAAATAAGAAAGATATAGATATATACCGCGCATTTTAGTGCCGGAGATAAAAATAAAATCTTGCTGCCGTTCAGCTTCGAAGAAAGACATTTTTTTCGCTTTAGTGTCGTAGGCAGCTACCCTAAAAGGGATAATTTCAAGATTTTGCAAGCCTGGTGCCATTGAAAGGACGCGTGCGCCATGAGTGGCGTCATAAAGATTGCCATCCGGTGTACTGGATTTATCAGGATGCGGCACTCCGGCGGGATCTCTACCAACGATATAGAAATTTGCCCCTGCGATCATACGAGTTTTGGCATGCCATTGCACCTAAAATATGAAATTAGATAAATAATTTAGCGTTTTCTAAATACATTAGTAAGTTTATATATATCAGAGATATTGAACGCGTAAAAGAAATATCGTTTAACAAAATATTGCCAAAATTATACTGACTTCGGTAGGACCAGCGTAACACATAGGACTCGGAAAAATAGCGAGAATAGTATCCTTGTGCAAAATATTTTCCTCGAGGACAGCCTGATGCTGTTGTATTCTAATCGGTAAAGGAACATCGTCGTCTTTAGTCCATCCACCTAGAGGATGCAGGAGAAGAACTGGTTTCTTGAAGCCACGCTCTTCAATAAGGTATTTTCTAGTGTCCTGAAATGCAACAAGATTATTTATGCAAAAGTGATAAACGAACATTTCAGTTTACACGGAGACGATTTTGTTATTTCATACAGAAAAAGTCAACATCCATCAACCTGCATCAACAACGCATGTCCATTGTGTATCGGATTTCGCAATTGGAAAGCAAAAACCGCGTCGGCGCCAATCTCCTGACACCTGATCCTGATCTCGTTAGGCGTGAGTCTGTAATGATCCAGACCATCGTTCCATCGAATTCTTTCAACCACTTCCAAGTCGCCGCCAACCAACCAGTCGCCGGATTCCCGAATTATTCGAACATACGGATGTCTAGAATCGTTTGTGCCGAATTGTCGACAGCAACGTTCTTCCTTACGGTGATGGTAAAATTCCGGATTGCGCAATATTGCAAGATTTTTACCTTGATATCTGAGAACAAGCGCATTTGCATCGAAATAGCGTTCTTTATCGACGGTACTTATGGCAAGAACAATGGGTATTGATTGATTGATTTGAACTCCGTTTTCATATAGACAATTGAAATGTTGCGTCTGTATAAGAAAAAAAAACGGTAATTTGATTTCTTATATTAATTTCCATAACGTCTGTTAATTTAAGATATAACTATTATATGTAGGACATAACTTATTATATAGGATAGGTTTAAACTTACTTGAAGATATTCATGCTCCCTCATAAATCCTTTTAGAGGTGTCCCCCATCCTTCAGCAAGAACTTGGACCCATTGCACATCTATCTCTCCGATCTCCAAGGCTGGAAGAGTTCTCATTTCCTTTCGGACATCTTCTAATCTATCCTCCTTCACGAACAGCTCCTGGAAAGGTTGCTTAGAGTCGTCCAATTTTGGTATAACATGTTTGCGCTGGAGAAAATCGATAACGAGATCGGTGGATTGTTGAACGGTGGCATTCTCTGTGTTGACGATGAGATCAGGCGTGATCGGCACATCGTAATTCTGATCGATACCGGTGAAACCCTTTATGATACCCTGGCGCGCCTTTTTATAAAGCCCCTTGACGTCGCGGGACTCGCATACCTCAAGAGACGCCTCGACAAATACCTCGAAGAAGGACAAATCGGCATTTCTGTGAATCTCGCGTGCCATTTTCCGATCCTCCGCGAACGGCGATACGAAGCTACAGAGGGTGATGATGTCAGCATCCGCGAAGAGCCTCGCGACTTCGGCGACACGACGCACATTCTCTTCGCGGTCCTCTTTGCTGAAGCCCAGATTACTATTCAGACCAGTGCGTATGTTGTCGCCATCCAAGCTGTACGCAGGAATTCCCTTTTGTTCGAGAAATAATTATTGAATTTTAATATATTGCTAAGTGGAGTGATTAAATTAAATTATAAAATAAATGTGTATGATATTAAAGAGAGAGACAGTGAGCTTTCAGAGATGAATGATCTCTGCTTGCCATATACACGTTTATCTATTTTAGAATTTTTTAATAAATCATTAGTTGTCGTGTGTGTACGATAAAGTAATAGCATAAATAACATACTTGAGAAACAAGATATTCTTCAAGTCGAAAAGAAATGGAAGTTTTCCCGGCACCGGAAAGCCCTGTCATCCAAATTGTACACCCACAAAATCCTCGGACAGAGCCGATTGCTTGTCCCCGTTTCGCTCTAGACACATGATGTATCTGTGACGATACGTTAGTTGCCATTGCCAGCGCCTGTGATTCAATATACTTTATTTCTATTCGTATTAATTCTTACTCCTCTTTTTATCTCTTTTATCTCTTTTATAAGATTATCACTAGAGATTATCAAATTATCGATGCATACTTTTTTCATTGCAGTAATTTTATTTTATATCTCACCTCTTTCGGAGAATCCGAAATTTCCAAAACTGATCGCGTAAAGATTCCCATATTTCCAGATAGACACTTCGTTTATTCTCTTATTTATCTCTTTTTGCTTAAATAGTTAATAGTGTAATTATTATAGTTAATAATTATTATAATTAATAATATAATTATACTCTTTTCCTGTATGACAATTAACGAATTAGCGTGAGACACGACACGACATTTAAAGCATGCGATGGACTGTAGAAAACTGATCTCTTGTATAAAACGTAAACTGTTAAAAGCGAGAAAGTATGAAGAAAGTCGCTTTCATTATACATTGACAGAAATCTTAAATACACATGCATTAATTATATATATGAATATTAATTTTTATGTAGTAACTTTGATAATTCCATTTTTTAAGTAAAGTAATGTCATTTGTTCCAAAATATGTTACATAATGGATTATACATCGAAGAAAATACTTATATATATATATATATATATATATATACACGAGTTCGGTGAAATGTGTTTGAAAAGGTCCATAGTGAGAGATGTGACTCAAAGATTTTATCTGAATCACGTGTTCGATTGCTACAGATAAGCGATATCAACATTTCTATCTGACCAAATTAGGTCATTATTAGCGATCTTGATATCACACTTGCATTTATTATCTCACACAGATGTTGTTTACGAATTTTTGAATCTTTCTAAGATATTACGATTAATATTAATTATTATCATCTTTTGTAAATATATATTTTAAATATTTTTATTTCTTTTCACTCATAATATGTAATATGCTTTCTAATTTAAATGAAGAAACGAAAAATGCATAGATCGATTAAGATTTTAATTAAAATGATTTTTGATAAACAAATTTTTCCACATTTTACACATTTTTACGTCAATATATATACGATAACTCGAAATTAGGAATAGTCTTAATAGCAAATTGTTCTCTTTTTATAAAAATTCGATGACTATCGACATGGCACAAGCTGTCATCAAAATATTTAACATTATATCAACAATCGAACGGTTTCTCTGGCAGAGAGAAAGCAAATTCAAGGGCGCCCTGAAAGTTTCAGAATGCAGAGATACACATTCTCTTTTTTCGAATGTCTACTCCCTCTCTCTCTTCAAATTTGTTTCATCGTATTTCAAAGCTAGCTCTCATTTTATACGTGCCTATGCAAATCTCGGTAAAATTCGATCGAATGGTTCTAAAGGAATAAAAAAGCACTCTCAGAAGCATCGCGTCGTCATCGTAAGAAGCCAGCGAAAGAAAACATAACTGTCATTGTATCCGCGATATGTAACCGGTGATTAAAATCTTCACTGTTCTTCTGATAACGACATCTATTATAAATATATGTAACTGGTGATTAAAATCTTTATATCTGTTCTTCTGATAACGATATCTATCATAAATATCATTTTATGCGAGAGAAGCTTGATATGTTTTCTTCGACTATCTTTTAAGTAAAAATATATGTGTGTAAATATGTGTATTTATATATCCCGACATATATACAAGAGATAGTTGAAAGAAACGTAAAAAAATAAGAATTTAAGCTTCAATTTCATTTATATAAAGAAAAAAGAATCACTTAAATTTTAAATATTAGATTTGTAAATATATGTATAATTTGCGAATAAGACTGAATAGCTTTCGTAAAAAACAAACTATTTTTCTTATATAATCTTATATTAGATTTATCTTATATTAGATCTTATATTAGATTATATAATCTTATATAATCTTATATAATCTTATATTCACTTCCTTATCACTAGAATTTATAAGAAGAAAGAATATATACTATATATTTAATATATTTGATTAAAACATTGAATATAAACAGAGATAAATACATATTTATAATATATTTTAAATACATAATTCATAATTTGCCTTATAATTCGGATCGCTTATAATGTATTGTATATATACTGAGTTTGTCATGATGTAAAATGCGTGAACGTCGAATTAGCTATACTTAAAAAGGGGACAAGTTTAAAACCTTTCTCGATTAAATATTCTTATTTAAAGGCTTCTAAATAAATAAGTATATTGACATTGTTTAACTGCAATGTATTCCCTTGATAAGAATTTCACCTACACATTTTCGATACAGGAAAGAATTAAAAAGAGATCGATTATCTTTTGTAAGAAATTTGTAAGAGATTTGTAAGAAATTTGTAAGAATTTTGTAAGAATTTTGTTTCTTTGGGAATTGACAGATGGATACTCCATTATGAGTAAATTTTTTTTTAGCTTTACCTTTCTTACGTCCAATGGAATTTTTTTCATTATATTTACAATATTTAACAAAAAAGTTAAAATACTCGTATATGTATATAAAATAGGTACTTTATTATTTTATCTGAAAAGAATTTTTATTCTTTGAAATTGTTTTATATCAAGAGAAATCGAGTTTATTATAAAAGAATCTTCTTTTCTTCTATTTTCTCTCTCTTTATCGAAAATAAATAAATAAATAATAAATATATATGTTATTCATAACATATTAGAATGGAAAAGAATCATACACGTATAAAAATAGCTAATAAAATGTAGAATTAAGTCCATACATATACGAACAAGATGTGTGTTCCCGATCCAGAATTTTTATAGACAGTACAGACATAAATCAAACTGTGTGATTTTATCGACAAGTAATCAATATCGAAAAGTAATCAAATAGTTCCAATTCATGTATGATGGCGCTGATGTATAAAAAAATGTAAAGTCACTAGATTAACGAAGTACCGCAATTTTGAACTCAATAAGATAAGATGGAGCAAAAATGGCGTCCGATAGTATAGATATAGGCTTCCACTTACTGCAATAATGTACACTAAAAATGACAGATCTGTATTAAAAATGATAGATCTATATTTAGTAGTTGGAAAAAAAGAGAGGAGAAATGAAAAGTGCATCTAGAGAATTTAAAAGAATAAAAATCTAAAAATAATAATACATAAAAATTAATATTATGTATTTTTTTCATGAAGAATGTGGGGCGCACATTTATGCATTTATTTATTTAGATGAGATTTACTTTAGAGCACATTCAGTATTCAACTTTAATTTTATTTTCTCTTTCTTATGATATATAAGTATAACATAATTACCTGCAAATGCTATCATTTTTGTGTGCTTACAGTGATACAGAAGCAACATTACAAGTACTATATTTACAGATAACATCTGTATAATAAAAAAAGCATCAAAAATCTAATAATGAAAAAAGGATAAATATTGTAGACCAGCATAAATATCAACCAATTATTCCACCGCTCTGTTTCATTAGAGTTGCAATTTTCTTTTATATCATAAATATTATAAATAAGATAAGATTTCTGTACGTTTCAAATAAATTTATATATTTTATGTATGTAATGCTGCTCACACATATTAAAAAGTGATAATATCGCAGTTATAATAAGATACAATCCTGGCAATGTAGTGATTTTTGGATACTACTTAAAATAATTTAATTTGATTTATTTTTGAGAAATGCACACAATACTTGAGAACAAATTATTTTTGAGCCATGTATTACCTATGTAAAATTCCACACACAGTATCATATTGTCTGCGATATATGAAAAGCTTCATCGATGAAATATGATTGAGATATAAGAAAAGTAATATAGTACTTGTAATGAATAACGTTAATGTGGAATACATAAATATTTTATATTTTAATTTCATATAATCAAGATGAGATAAGACACTTATGATTACTTTAAAAATGTGTCCACAAATATCATGTAACTTCAATAGCTGCACATTCGTCAAATTAATCCTATTACGTTAAATGAATCACAGCAGTGTTTGTTTTAATTTAATCTAACCTAATCAATTATATTATATGCTCCTCATTAAAATGTGTAAAACTGTACGTCGCACATTTAATACGATTAATATACTACGTAATAAAATGTAATACATTAATTAAATAATTAAATATTATTTTTAAAAGCATGATACAATCCAGACAGCATACGTTTGTGTTTACATTCGACATCCAAAGACAGTGGTTAGGTTAGGTTAGGTTAGATCAAACAAATTTATCGTTTAACAGTTGGCAGCCCTACAAGATAGGCTGTGCAGCACTGCGCGTATATAAAATAAATTTGAAATCGCTTCTAGCATAACCATCTTCACGCGATCGACTTTATTTGAATTGCACGGCATCGCATCGAATTATGATGCGGCGCCAATTTGTTTGAACGTAATTAGGGACATCGCGATGCTGTATAAGCGTCGAATGAGCACGAATTGTCACGCAAATATGATAATAAATCACATCTACTCACCGTTCACCGGCTGTTCTACAGGCCGCTCCACTCGCTCGCCTCGGGACGTCCCATTCCGATCTTGATGCACACGATATCATCAACGCGAACGCGCGACACTTTATTCGGCACTCCCGATATTCGCTCGCATCCGATAATCATCATCAAGGGCGCAAATAACGCGACGCGACTTCGCTCCATCTTCGCGATGACGCCATCACTGAATATCGTCAAAAATCGCTGTCGCGCGTTTCCATCGACACACTATGAAAGTCGCGCGATCATCCTTGGACACTTTCGACGCTCGTTCACTCGCGATATTCGTTTAAAAACGGTTAAAAGACGCGAAAAATGCGGACGTTCGACGATCCGTGTAACTGCGTATGACTCCGAGTCACGTATGACGCGTATGACGTAGCTTTGACGCGTATGACGTAGCAGTCACGCGCCAACATGGCGGCCGAACCACTGCGCATGACCATTCCTGCGCGCAACGTTCGCACAACTTTGATTTCTGAAATATTGTCTACGGCTTTAATTAATAGCACATAATGATAAATATATAAAGATGGAATCAATTAATCATATTGGTCATATATGTAGACTTGCTTGAAGAAAGAGAGTTGTTCTCGATGTTCACTTTTAAAGGAATAAAGAGAATTATATATAAATGTAAATAAATTATCCGAAGAGAGAAAAAATTGAGAGATATTTTTAATTTTTTAATAAAAAATGGAAATGTCTATTCATAGGCTTGTTCTTCTTTTCCTCTTTTGTGCAATTTCGATTCAATATATAACATAGAAAATTCATAGTATATATTCATAGTATATTTATTTTTATATATTTACAACTATAATATTCGCACGATCATTTTTTGACATTTACAATACTCGTGTGCCTTGTTCTCGATGTTCACTTTTAAAGGAATAAAGAGAATTATATATAAATGTAAATAAATTGTCCAAAGAGAGAAAAAATTGAGGGATATTTTTAGTTTTTTTAGTAAAGGTTGGAAATGTCTATTCATGATAGAAATGCAAAGAAAGAAAATTATTATGTTTAAAATAATAATTTCATATGAAATACAACATTAAAAGTTACATTATAGAACTTGACTTTCTAAAAGCGTAATAAAACAATCAAATAGTAGACAGAGAAAAGACTAATTGTAAAAGAAAAAAAGTTGTTAACTTAACTAAACCATTTAACTAAATTATTGTCTTTTTAATTGGAATATTTAACTATTATAAATCTAACATGAGATTTATTTAACTTAAATATTTCAATATTTCAATTTAAAAAATAATAATTTAGTTAAACGGTTTAGTTGAGTTAACAAAAACTTTTTTTTCTCAATGTACGTATGTGTGTGAGACTTTAAAAATATACTTGGATATAAATACATTTATATTATTAAACGATTAACATATCTCGTGAGGTTTAATAAATAATTAATCTGTGTACACTGAGAAAAAAAGTTGTTAACTTAACTAAACCATTTAACTAAATTATTGCCTTTTTAATTGGAATATTTAACTATTATAAATCTAACATGACATTTATTTAACTTGATTATTTCAATATTTCAATTAAAAAAATAATAATTTAGTTAAACGGTTTAGTCGAGTTAACAACTTTTTTCTCAGTGTACGTGTGTGTGTGTGTGTGTGTGTGTGTGTGTGTGTGTGTGTGTGTGTGTGTGTGTGTGTGTGTGTGACTTTAAAAATATACTTGTATATAAATACAATTCTCACATACGTCACAGTACGCGTTAAATATTTCGGCAGCGAGCTAACACGTCATTCGACCTTGTGACGTCATTTGGCCTTGTGACGTAGCGCGCTATTGTTTACATACGCGACGACCTCCCCTCATTCGCACGGCGACATTCCAACGGAGAAAGTAGCGATACGGACCGCTCCGTATTATCGAATTCTTTTCCTAAAGGTACGATCGCGATTAGATCGAAATATAATAATTCGACTATTACAAATGACAAATAATTAACTCTTATAATAAATGCAATTGTGGCGACGATAAATTCATCGAAACGCGATCTTTCATTATTGCAAATAAAAATTGAAGCGAAAGGGGCAAAAATTACAAATTTTCTCACAATATTCTCCGATTATCGAACTTTACGAATAATTATTTCTTTAACATTGCATAGAATGAAATTCGATTTCGCCCGATGTTTTAAACTTTCCTAAACTGCATGCATATATATCATATTAATTAAACGATTGCTGTATCATCAATTTACATTACTTTAATATTTTAATCTTATGATTCGCGTTATTATGCATATATTATACATCAACAAATAGAAATAGTTAATTAGTGTAAGAATCGAGTGGTGCATGATTTTGGCTTCGTTTAAAAATCGAGCGAATTATTGTAATTTTTGTGTTCCTCTCTTGCAATAATAATAAAATAATAATAATATTATAAAAATACGTATCTCGTATGATTATTTTGCGATCGGGAGTGCCCTGCAAAGTGTCTGGCGATCGTTTCTGTATATGACTGAAATATAATTAACTGAAATATAATTGTTTGTTCGCGAGTGAATACGTGACTGCTACGAGGAAACAACAAAGGATGAAACAACAAAAGAGAAGGACATCTGAAAAAGTATCGGACAGAAAGCAGGGAGAGAGCCTGAAGCAGCCAGAGACATGCGGTGAGTAATTTATAAAAATTATTTATTATTTATTATTTATATACACTATTTTTAAAATAGATATATTGCTTATTATTTTATTATCGTTTTATTTTTCGATCATTTAAATATATAATTCGGATTGAAATACAGTAAAACAATCGAATCGTAGATCTAAATAATCAACTTAACAAAAAGATCCATAAAAGATATATTAGTTCTTTTAATAAATAATATCGTATAATTAATCTATATAAAAATGAAATATTATCTATTTATTTCTAAATATTAAATACTATAAATTTAATAGTTATATATTTTGTAAAATTTAATTAAAAGAATCTTTAAGATATTCCAAAAGAAACGAAGAACTTTTCTCAACGTAGAAAAAGTTAATTATAAACAAATTTATATTTAATTATTATAATTAATTTGTATTTAATTTTATTGGAATTTTATTATTAATTTTATTGCATTGTCAAACTCTACGCGATCTCTGTAATGATAGCTATTCACGAAATAGGTACAGTGAAATAATCAATTATTATCGAAAAGAGGCAATAATATACTTTTAAATCTAATTTAAACTTTTGATAAACGATATAAATTTTTTTATTATGATGAGAAATCTTTATTAAAGATCATAATTGCAAATAAAAATGGAAATAACTTCACGAAGTATATTAATCGTTTAATAAATAATTAATCCATGTGTACGTGTACGTGTGTGTGTGAGTGTGTGTGTGACTTTAAAGATGTGTGTTTAATAAATTATTAATCCGTGTGTACGTGTACGTGTGTGTGTGACTTTAAAGATATGTGTTTAATAAATAATCAATCCGTGTGTACGTGTGTGTGTGTGTGTGTGTGTTTGTGACTTTAAAGATATACTTGTATATAAATACACTTGTATATAACTTTAAAAATATATATGTATTTCCGTTATGTTAATTATCCGATTTTTATTTGATCGTTTTATTGCGCGTTCTGAATCAAATTATATTTAGATCAAATGATATCAGAGAAAATATTTATTTATTATATTAGAATTCTAAATGTGTGTGTGTGTGTACATATATATATTAGGATAGAAATGAAATAGAAATAGAAGGATAATCATTGCTCGTAAAGATTGCAACAAAGTAATAATTTATAATTTTGATTCCTATCGTATAATCGAGTATCGTATTTCGAGAGCAATCAACTATTTATTAATAATAAAATTGTATATAACTTACGAATATATTCCACTTATTTCGGACGTTAATATCGCGACAACGACGAATAAACTTTTCAAAAAAGTTCAATTCAACTATTTCATATATGAGACAGTTCTACCAATCACTGATACAAAAAACTCGTCAATTGACCAGTTGGTGAAACTGTTTCAGTCCTGAGTATTTTCTTAAAAGAGCTGTTGGCGCACATACGTGCGTGTATTATGTTTACGCGCGTCACGCGTTCGAACGAATCTTGACATTCTCGCGGGTAAAGTCACTAGATTAAGCCCCAAAAATGGCGTCCGATAGTGCAGATAGTGCACACTTTGTGTAGCTATCTATACTAAGGCCGGAATTCATAGTCCGATCTTATATTTAAGATTGTCTTAAGCTCTCATTCCACCAATCAATGACTGCATTGTAGCTATTTGATTGGTTGAATGAGTTCTTAAGATGATCTTAAATATAAGACCGGACTATGAATACCGGTCTAAGTGCAATTTTTTTAATCTTGATCCTGGTTTGTCCTGTGTCCTATTGTGTGTGAGATGAGAAAACTCCTTCTGTTGCGCAGAAAAAGAAGAAAATATTAAAAATGCCAGGTTGCGTGAAGAAATGCAACAATCGCAGCCTATATCTATACTATTGGACGCCATTTTTGCTCCAGCTTATCTTATTGAGATCAAAATTGCGGTACTTTGTTAATCTAGTGACTTTAAAAAAATGGCAGCTTAGAGACATGTTTCCACATGTTTCACTTGTCGTTCATAATATTCGCGGCTCTCATCTCATCCTAATTGTTTATCGAAATTAAAAAAAAAGACTGATGATACTTGCAAATGGCAAATGAAACGCATTGTTGGTCTCTAGGCATATCTTTCTAATTTTGATCTTGCGAAAGTAATCACTCGTAGTAAAAATACCGGCAATTTATAGGTTATTAAATGATTTGATAATACATTTTAATAGAGGTAAGCTACATTATAATAATTGAATTTGCAAAACACTCAAGGCATTTTATTAATCGTATTTAATTAACTAAAATCAATATTTATATATTATCAATAAAATTTATCGTATTATAATATTATCTTGTAGCGTTAATTTTATTATAAAATATTAATTAATAATTCGACGATTATTGTAGGATGATGAGGTTTTGTCCGCTATGTATAAAGAATGGCCTAAAAAGAAAAATCAAGGCCTTTCAGGTTAGCTTTGAAGAAGCAGTATGGTCTTGCGAGGGAGAAGATGTATGTATCAATTTTCTTTTATTCTCATGTATCTTTTTTATACATTTTGTGCTCACGATTTTGCTTATATTTCAGTGTCCCTGGCCAATTGGTCATGATGAAATAGCATTTTTCCAAAGAAACGCTCTTACCTGTGATTGGAATGAAAATCTACCTCCTCCAATTGGTATCCCTGAAGAAAGTATATCTATGCCAATGGAATTGTTACTTTATACTCCACCTGTAACTCCTGGAGAATTATCTAAGGAATCAACTGACAGTGCAAGCACTGAATGTTCATTCAATCTTTCATCAGAAAACAAAACTGATGAAATATTAGTTAGAAATGAAGTTATTTATTCAACCTCAACTAAAGAACCTATAGGCTCTTCACCAACATTAGAATTAAGCAGGTTAGAAAATTATTTTATTAAAGAAAAAAGGAATAGTACAAAAGAAGAGAATGCAAGTGTGAATGTTTGTAAAGTATTGCCTAGAATCACTAATATTCAAAAAACTCACCTTGATGTTACATTTTTATCAAAAAGTGAGGAGTGTTGTAATGAAGAAGTACACAAAGATAAATATTTGAATAATCAAACAACAATGGATATTACTGAAAATACATTGCTTAACAACATATTATGTAAACAGATTGATTCAGATACTCAGTGTAAAATAGAAAGTGAGCAAGATAAAAATAGCAAAATGCAATTGGATGATGAAATGAATAAGACAGAAACAAATTTAAATATAGAGATGTTATTGGAGCCTGACAAACAATTATTTGGTGCAAACGATATAAATATCTTAAATACAAATAATTCTGCATCGAATATTTCAAATGTTAGTTTAAACATAGACAAAATATTAGAAGATATTTTAAATACAGAAAATCATATAACTGAAAACATAAATAATGATTGGTTACGTTCACTTATGGATGTATAACTTAATTTATTATAATTTATTAATGATTAATAAATAATTATATTAATAAAGACTGAGACACATGTAAATCAAGATAGGTAATAAAGGTATATAATAAGGTTCTGTAATTTTATTTGCAAGTAAAATTACGTAATAAAATTATAAGTATTCATTTGCAATAGTAAAATATTTTCATATAATATGAAAATAATAATGAAACATTATCTGTTTTGAAAAAATATGTTTTATATTGTTTATATTTTGTATTATACTATTAATAATATAGTAATACTTCTCTCAATATGTGATAGAAAAATAGTTCAATGTATTCAGTGTATTTATAATAAAATATTTAAGATTAACAAACATAAAAAGAAATTTTTTGTAAATTGATATTTTATTAATTGAAAGATTTAAAAATATATAATGTATAAAAATGTACAATGTAAAAATTTAATAAATGACAAATTCAATAAATTATTTAAAAAGTTCTTTCTATAACTTTATGTATAACAATATTACACAATTGATGTATTTAATATATATTATTGTAAAAACAGAAAATTTACATGAACCCGAAGTTTCACCTATTTTTATTTCATTTTATTGCTTTTAAATCATGAATTTATTAATCGTGTGGTAAGATATTGCAATCGAGTATTCTCTTCATACTTGACTGCGATTGGTCAATCTCTTAAGGTTTAAATTATTTATTGTAGATCCGGCCTTATGAGTAAAGAAATGCAACGTGCTAGCCAATCACTTTTTCCCTCTTACGGAAAAACTGTAAGCTGATTAGTCAACGCTTCTTCCCGCGTGATGTGCGCATTTAAGAGCCATATGTATATATATGTATATACAAATAGATAGGAGGTAGGATTCGGGCTTGTTTGATTTCATTGACGATAAGTGCATAACATTTGTTTTATCTTTATAGGTTTGTAGTTTGAAGCTTTAAAGCTGGAATATTGTAGTTATATTAAACACAAACTTGTGGATAATTTCTTTTAAAGAGAAAAGTAAGAAAGACAAAGATGGACTTTCTGGAATATCCGGACATTTTTGCTGAGGTTAAGGGCGCTATGGTAAGTGTTCTTAATTGTTTGAAGCAAAATTGATTGATATAACTCATTTTTATATTATTAAATTAAAACATTAGAATCCTAAATTGTTTGATTAAAAAGTAAAAAAATTTCATTCTGATGATCATATAATTGATGAATTGTTTTGTACCATTATCAGACACCTGGCAGATTAAAGTTGACCGACCAACATTTGATCTTCAAAAATCAGAAGACTGGTAAAGTAGAACAGATTTCTGCTTCTGACATGGAAATGGTAAATTATCAGAAATTCATTGGCACCTGGGGTTTACGTATTTTTTTAAAAAATGGTACTTTACATCGCTTCAAAGGCTTCAAAGAAGCTGATCAGGAAAAGATTGCCAAATTCTTTTCTGTCAATTATAAGAAAGACATGTTGGAGAAAGAACTGAGTTTAAAAGGTTGGAATTGGGGTACAGCAAAGTTTACGGGATCTATCCTGAGCTTCGATGTAGGTCATCACACTGCTTTTGAAATACCTCTATATGATGTGTCGCAATGTAATACAGGAAAAAATGAAGTAACCTTAGAGTTCCATCAGAATGACGATGCTCCAGTCAGTCTGATGGAGATGAGGTTTCATATTCCTATTAGCGATAGTGCTGACCAAGATCCTGTTGAAGCATTCCATCAACAGGTGAGATAGAATTTTAATTTTTCTAAATAATAATGAGCAAATATATTCACATATTTGAAACTTAATAAGAAAAATAATTTACTTATCACTCCTAATAGGTGATGGATAAAGCATCTGTGATCAGTGTGAGTGGTGATGCAATTGCTATATTTAGAGAGATTCACTGTTTAACGCCACGTGGTCGTTATGATATTAAAATTTTCCAATCCTTCTTTCAACTACACGGCAAAACTTTTGACTATAAAATCCCCATGTCAACTGTTTTGAGACTTTTCCTACTACCACACAAGGATAGTCGACAAACATTCTTTGTTGTAAGTCTGGATCCTCCTATAAAGCAGGGTCAAACACGATATCATTATCTGGTTCTTCTATTTAACCAAGAAGAGGAAACCTCTATTGAGCTTCCTTTCACAGAAAAGGAGCTAAAGGAAAAGTATGAGGACAAACTAACAAAAGAATTAACGGGACCAACATACGAAGTACTTGGCAAGGTTAGTAAAAAAAGCAAAGGATAAAAATTATTTTCTAATTTTTTTTCTAATATTTGCATTCTTATTTTAATACTATGTTATTTCGGTAGGTGATGAAAGTAATTATTAACCGAAAGATAACTGGACCTGGACACTTCTTAGGTCATACAAAGACACCTGCGATTGGCTGCTCCTTCAAAGCCGCAGCAGGATATCTATACCCGCTCGAGCGAGGTTTCATTTATGTGCATAAACCGCCGATACATATTCGTTTTGAGGAGATAGCCTCGGTCAATTTTGCGCGTGGCGGCGGTTCAACTAGATCTTTCGACTTCGAGATCGAACTTACGAGTGGTGTAGTTCATACTTTTAGTAGCATCGAGAAAGAAGAATATGGTAAATTGTTCGATTTCATTACGTCAAAGAAACTTCGTGTCAAGAATCGCGGCAAGACTGACAAACCTAAATATGATGAAGATTTTGGTGACAGCGATCAAGAGGATGAACCAGATGCTTACTTGGCGCGAGTCAAAGCGGAGGCGCAGGAACGAGACGGCGTAGAAAATCAAGATTCTGAAGAAGGCTCAACTGATGAGGATTTCAATCCGAATCAAGACGTAAGTGATGTTGCCGAGGAATATGACAGTAATCCCAATAGCTCTGAAAGTGACGAAGACTCGGATGCGTCTGAGGCTAGTCATAAGAAAGAGAAGAAAGAAAAGAAAGAAAAGAAATCTAAATCGGCAAAGACAGTATCAGAAAAACCGCGCAAACAGAGGAAACCGAAAAAAGAAAAGGACGCGAATAAGCCAAAGAGACCTCCAACGGCGTTCATGTTGTGGCTTAATAGCGCACGCGAAAGCATCAAGGCGGATAATCCGGGAATAAATGTAACAGAAATCGCGAAAAAGGGAGGTGAAATGTGGCGAGAGCTCAAAGATAAATCAGAATGGGAAGCGAAGGCAGCCAAAGCTAAAAAAGAGTATGCGGCATCAATGAAGGAATACGAAGCGAGCGGAGGTGGTAAATCTAAAGAAAAGAAAGAAAAGACGGAAAAGACGGAAAGGACGGAAAAGAAGAAGAAGGAAACGCCTAAGAAAGATTCGCCTAGCAAAATGATGACGGGCTCGTCTTTCAAAAGTAAAGAATATATCAGCGATGATGATAGTAGTAGCGACGAGAGTAAGAAGTCCGAAAAGAAGAGTTCTGATAACGAAAGTGGAGAAGGGAAAGAGAAAAAGAAAAAAGGTGAGAAGCGACCCACTGAAGATGCTGGAAAAAGGACAGTAAAAAAGGAGAAACGAAATCAATCAGAAAGCGACGCGGAAGAACCTATAGAGAGCACTCCGCCGTCATCCGACGCAGAATCTAAAAATAGTGATTAATAAAATTAAAGTATTCAAATCAATATTTTTAATTATCTGTTTACATGTACTATTTGTTCATATTTAAAAGATTTGCGTTGTTAGAAATCTTTAGTAAGAGTAAATGTTTTACACTTTTCACAAAATTCTAGCGCTTAACTGGATTAATATTACAAATATATAATATCGACTATTTTAATTCTAAAATATTAATAAGATCTAAATATCGAAAGAAACGAAATAATTTTATCACCAATTTTTTATTTTTTTCTCATGAAAAAATTATGTAAAAGAAACATTCTTTTTCTGTGAATAAGTAACAAATTTTGTAATATTATTTTTGCGTAATTCGGTAATTTAATATATAAAATTAATTTTTTTACAGGTACATTTATTTTTACAATTAATGTCCTTTTATATAATTTTCTCTCAACATAGTTAATAACCAAGAATTTAATAAAACATTTGCAAATTAAACAAATAATTAAATTTATTATTTAGCATATGTGTTACATATAGTTTCTTGTGAGAGTATTTTTATATATAACTACAAGTGAAATTTATAAAATTTTTCAGTTAAAATAACCAATTATTCGATAGAAATACACATAATATTATATATATGGATGGCTATATAAAGCATTAATTATACATTCAGACAGATATATATATATAGTCTAATTAAATGTTAATGAATATTTCATAAAGAAAAGTAGAAATGACATTTAAAATATTTGCACTTGTATTATTAACAACTTTTGAAGAAGCTGCATAGGACCCAAGTATATGACATGTGCACATTTTCTTGTCAACTATGTTTCTTTTCTTTTTCTGTTTCTAAATAATTTGTCTCTATTTCTTTGAACTCAATATGCTGCTCCTTCATGGCTTTCTAAAACATGAAAAAACAAAATTGATATATAATTGCTATTATTTGTACTGTATTTATAATTTTAACAGATTTTTTTGCAAACATTGGTTTTTCAACAGTTTACACAATATGATCTGCGAGAAGGGAGACTCGTAAGACTTACCGCTACGCAATCTTTATAGACTTTAAGCAAGGAGGCACATACTGAATCATTGGTATCGCCTTTTAAAAATTTTTCAGAGAACCAACTATTGAAACAGGCGTCGTATTTCTGTTTCAATTCACTGCAATGCTCCATGTTGCGCTTTTGCTTTCTCTCCCTCTCTCAGAGTTTCATACGTTATACGCTTGTAGACTTCCTAAAGATATAAGCAAGATACAATCGTGTTCTAATTACCTTGACACACTGCTGATACATTTTGAATAAATTCGAGCATGTGTTGTCACTCGTGTCACCTTTCAAGAATTTCTCAGAAAACCACGTGTGGAAACAAGAATCATATTGTTGTTTTAGTTCATTGCACGTCTCGCCTATACTGTTCATGAATAAAATATACTGCTCTGAAATCAATTGGCGTCAGGTGAAATTTATGAATTTTGAAATTTGGATTAAAAAAGTAAGAACACATTATCTTAAATGATAGATAAGGAAAGTTACAAGAGTTTCCTGAAATTCGCAAAATTCATATTACAATCTCCGCAATATACTCACTTGCAGCGGCGAATCTTACAGCAAAGATATTTAAATTCGATCGAAACAAAAAAACTGTGCTAAAAAATTGCAAAATCCTATGATTATGCCGGTTATTAGCAGTGTGATAAATTTTTCCGATCCGGTTATCGAACGAAACAGCAATTGGTTATCCGACGTGAAAACTCTTATGGAGAATCCACATATTCACTATCAGACCGGCCAATCCGGTAAGTTTGTCAAGGATGTTGCCTTTGACCTTGTTTCGTTGCGCATTGGTTTTGAAGCGCGAAACGAGGACGCGTGTACCGAGAATATCGGGAGAGGGAGATGTCAGATGCCAGGCAATATCAGATCAGATGTGTCAGATGTCAAACTGCACATCATCGTTATTAATTATTGTTATTAATTCTATATCGTCAGAATGACGGTGCTCGATGTATCTGCATCAGTGCAATCTTTATTATTAATATGATATCGTCAGTTAGATTGAAAAAAACATTGTATTGTGAAGTAAATATATTCGATATTTTATCATTTCTTTAGATTCGTAGAACACACAATTCAATGTCGTCATTGATAAGCTCCTGATACGATAACTGTTAGCTTGAATCGTGTAGCAATGAGTACCAAACATAGTCCAGGAAAAATTACATTAGGGATGATGAAAGGTAGGTGGAAAAAATGTTAACAATTCAAGTTTAATAGTTATAACAAATATTAAGCTTGAATTTAATAAGTGACGGCCTCGTCGTCACACGTTACAAATATAATGTAATTTTTTTAAATCTTTTATTATATCTTTAACTCTTTCCACAAAGGCAAGCCAATTGCCACATCTGTACCAGTGATTCATTATCGAGCTAATGATGATGAACTGGACGAACTATATCCAAGCTCCTCTGATGAAGAGAAACGTGTCACTCCAGAGATTGAGAAAACTAGGTTCCCATCAAGCCCCTCTAAAGGTAGTGAGAATGGCCAAGGATTGGAGAATGGATCAGAGAGACGTTCTATTGATGGTAATGTATCTGAGGGTACTCCTCCATCTTCAGATCCATGGAAGGTGTTGTCCGAGATCAAACGAAATATTACAAAGACATTTGAAGAAAAACTTTCTGAGATAAAAAGCGATAAAAAAAAGAGAAGATATAACAAAGATTCCAGTATTAGCGATTCGGAAGATCCAGGAGAAATTACACCAATCGACGAGAATGTCAATGAAAAACAAGATAAAGAAGGTTTGCCTGTTGCTCGCAATAAAAGTACTGCTGCGAGATTCGTGGGTTTTTCACAGGTAAAAACTGGTTTAAAAACCAAAAATTCTCAAGACGAAAGTGTAGAGAGCGGTGTAGAAGCTGCTGAATTTTCCGAATCTACTCCTGAACAGCCTCTTTTTGAATTACAAGATTATTTTTGTAACGAGGATAAAAAAACCGATATCATGAGTCATCGTAATCTCTTCAGTCAACCAGATGGAGGCATCCAAATGAAAGAGGAAATAAAATTTAGCACATTGCTCTCTCGTATAAAAGATCATATATTTCAGCAATTGACAAAGCAGTTAGCTGCACTATTCATCCTTGTGTTTGCTTTCTATTATGTGGTTCCATTACCTCCATATTTGGTCGGTTTCTTTATCGGAGTTTTCGCTACAGTAATAATAGACAAATTAGTACAAAGAATCAAGGAAATTTTAGCAACACCTTTAAATAAAGAGCCTGCACACATAGTGGTTCCTGTATTGGAGATACCAGCAGTGGAGGAGCATGCAGTCCAAGAGAGATTTGAAGGATGGTTGAATGAATTGCCATATATCTATGATCCCCTTAACTATCACGTGGCACGCACGAAGTCAGTTTTTTTCAGTCTGGAAGGTGGAGTGCTGCGCGTTATGGAGACTAGAATGAAAGTACCAAAGAGAGCCGTATGGGATGAACCTAAGCGAAAATTTAAATTTATTAGAAAACGCGTGTACAACCTCATTGGTGCAAAGATAGAATTGTTACCAGAAGGACTCATTCGGAGAAGGTAATCGTTATATTATATTTAGATGATATTTTATGATAATTTTTTTATACATAGAATAAAAATATTTTTCATACACAGGAGATGGAGCAAGAAATATCCAATTTGTATTACAATGGATCCAAGAGCATTAATAGAAATTATGAATGACTGTACAGATCTTGGAAAAGAATCTTTCGAGGATGAGAAGAAAATTGCTCAGGCGGAAGGAACTGATCAGGAAATCGAGGAAAATACCTTCGGCGAGGAAACAAAAAGTGAGGACGAAGACTCTAGATTTGAATTCCTTAAAGATAATGACGAAGATGAGTTAAAGATTGATGAAGATGAAGACGATGACGATCTTTCGCAATCTAAGTCCTTAAGAAGTATTTACGAAGATTGTCGCGACAACGAAGAAATTACCAAATCTAAACTTTATGTTTTCGCGCGTTCCGACCGAGAGAAGGAAGATTGGTAATATTTCTTTGCAACAAAACATCTTTTAAATAAATCGAAATAATTAAGAATGACTCTAATTAAATTTTTCAATTCTAGAAATATGATTTGAAACTTGAAAGTTCTTCCTCTTCAATCATTGGTAAATTTTAATTTAAGATGATCTTTCAGGTTTCGAAGATTGGTATCAGCGGCATCTCTTTCGAAAAAACGACATTCCATTTGTTCTATAAACGATTGCGTATCCTGCGCGAGTGTAATTTCTGTACCGGATGTGGCAGAAGCAAAATTGCTCGAAACGTCTCCAGAAATTACCTATAACACTTATATGAGCAAGTACCTGAATGTAAGTAATACGGAAATCAAATTAACTTTAAAATCTTTTTAATGTTAAGCAAGCATGTTAATTATCTTTTAGATGGATCCTGAAGGTTCCCCAAAGGAAGATGATGTTCTTTGGGTGAATTGTCTTCTGGAACGATTACTTTTCGACATGCATAGTTGTCCAGAGACAATTAATCTCATTCAGGATAAAATACAGCGCAAATTGTCTAATATAAAACTCCCATACTTCATGGAGAGCCTTCTTGTAACAGAACTAGTGATAGGACAGGACGCTCCGACGATTCATAAAATTAACAAGCCGGTTCTCGATGAACGCGGATTTTGGCTTGAGATGAATATTACTTATAAGGGTTGTGTGACGATGACTGTAGAGACAAAATTGAATCTAATGAAACTGACGCGTGCGAATAGTGTCTCTGGTGAGATCATCGACGAGAAATCTATCCCCACTAGATCACCGATATTCGATAGCGATGTAGAAGATAGTCCAGAGACATCCACGGAAGACGAAGATGTCGGAAATATCGCATCTTGTGTCACATCGAAAGACGCCACGTAAGTCATTAATAAAGTAAATCGTATTTTAATTTATGACTTGTTTTCCGTTTCTTTTTTCTATTTAATTATATAGCTAATAACTTTTCATATATCTTTAAAGAAACATGTTCTTTTTTATATTAAAGATAAAATTGATTAATTACACACTTAATTATTTGCAATTAAATTTCACAATTTATGCAATGTAATTTTCATCAATCAAGCTTCCATCTTAAAAATTTCTCTTAAAGAAGTCCATGATTCATAGATCGTATAATAATTTGCGAAAATAATAAGATTAATTAGATTTTCGCATATTACAGACCAATTCAATCTTCTGGCAAGAAATTTCTTAACATGGTTGATAAGTTAACAGCTAACAAGTATTTTCGTCATGTAAGCGAGTAATTTTTAATAATGTTTAATTAATTTGTTATTTTATTGATAATTAAGAAAACAAACTACAAATCTCATTAGCTCATGCTAATTTTTTAATAATTTTTAGGCTACTGAATTGTCCTATATACGGAGAGCGATGGAAGGTGTTTCTAATACAGAGATCCGCTTCATGGTTAGCATATCTAGCATCGAGGGTTGTCTTTTAATAAATATTCCTCCACCACCTTCTGATCGACTCTGGTACGGTTTCAAGCCCGTGCCCAAAATCACTCTTACTGTGCAGCCAACTCTTGGAGAAAGGACTGTCAACATTGTATATGTGACTAAATGGATTGAGAATAAGCTGCTCAGGGAATTCGAAAAGCTAGTAGTTCTACCAAATATGGACGATCTGGTTTTATCATTTTGCCCAAATTATCCCTTTGTCGTGACGTAGACAAATTTTACATTAGCCAAAACAGTTTCCTGCTTTTACATTACTTTTTTTGTATGTAATTTGTATGTTTTTGTATGTAATTTGTAAACAATATTGTCATTTATATAAGTGGGAAATGGATTTTTTCTCATTAATATGATAATTCGAAATTCATAAATAGAAATCTTTGAAAAAAATTAGATGCTGAGATAAAAATGATATAGCGTCAGTTCTATTTTTATAAGATTTTTTAATATTATCATATTTTTATTGCAAAAAATGTTTTATTAAGTATATGCAGTATTTACAAGAAAGAGAAAAATGCTCTTGTGATATATCATTAATAATATTATCTTTATATTTAATGAAAAAAAGAGGCGGAAGAGAAAAAATTTACTATGACTGAACATTATTTTTATTGGAGTATGTACAAAGAAAATTAGTGAGCAAGAGAGATGCACGAAAAAATAAGGCAATTTTATTAATGTTTAATTAAATGCGATATTCATTGCAGGTTGTTTAATTGTATAATTATAAATATCACGAGACTAATGCCGCGCCATATTTTAGATGAAAAAAAATACTAATATAACTATCTATGTGATCATGCAATTAAGTCATTTAACGCAAATAACAAAATATTTTAAGAATATTGTTACAATATCGTTAAGTAAAGTTGAATTACAGTAAAGTTAAATAATTAGTTATTGTGATTGATTAAAATGGGCAAAATTGTCAAAAAAGAAAAAAAATATAATATATATATATATATATATATATATATATTGAACTAAGATTCAACTCGTGTGAAAGTAGAATTTTTTATATCTTGATAATTAGGCTCGTAATCGAAATATAGTTGATCGACAAAATGTGTAGAAGAAGAAAGTACATGATGTGTTAATATCACTTATCAAAAATGAATCGTGGATAAGCGCAACGCCTAAAAATATTTATTTTGTATATACGACTGTTAAGATAGAGAAATATAAAATAATGAATCGGTTATAACAAATAAACATGTAAATTTTATTTTTCTGCTACAAGAGAACAAACTAAACTTATATTCAATAGCTTCTTGACGATGTAGTAAAAAAGTTCACTCTCCTCCGTCTCTAATTGATTAAAGTAAATTGTACCATTTCAACGACATTAAAAGAAAGCAAAATGTACATATGTGAATGTATTAAGTGAATAGATAATTTGTATCTACTAGCCAGTTTGATCTATGAGCTGTATTATTTTGTTTGATACTATACAAATATATTTGTGTGAACGTTCGTGTATTTGTGCCTCAGGGAGATTATATAGAATAAATCCTGGATTCACAATGTGATTTTATTTTATGATAAAAACCACAAAATGTTAAAGATAAAAAAACTTTTTTATCAAATATATAAGATATAAATTATACTAGAAAGGCTATTTCATATGTTTAAACATAAAATTAATACCATAAAACAAATATATTTTGTGAAGATTTTTTAAACGATATTTTTCGTTTAAGACTTGTACTATTGTTGAGCTCACGTTGTGGATCTAGAATTAAATCACAGAGTTATATTGTAACAGTTTTTGCAAAAATAAATTATTGTACATCATCAACTATTTCTTAAAAAATTTTTTCTTACAAAAACAAATATTTTTTTTTAATTCGATATCTTCTATTATTATATAGGTTGTAACAACCTCTCTTTCTATCTTTTATCTTCTACTAAAGTGATTCTACTTGTGAACGATTGTTTATTATATACACGATACACTTAAAAAATTAAAAGTATATAGGGAGAAGAATACAATATATTTCTTTTTATTTCAAATATTTTCTTTATTTATATCTTCTGTTATACTGATAAGAATAGTTATTTCGATTGATATAAAAATTTATAAAACTTGTTTATTAAATCTAAAAATTTATAAAACCTGTTTATTAAATCTGTACAATTGTTATAACTAATTAATATAAACAAATTATACTTAATTCTTCAACAAATCATCTATATAAAATTTGTATATAGAGTATCTTAATCATTGTGCACTTTTTCTTAACGACAAACATTAGATTTTATTTCTATATTAATTTCAAATGTAAAGATATCGATAATTAAATTATCGATATCTTTACATTTGAAATTAATATCTAAAGTTGGGTATATCTACGAACGAATAGCGAATACGAATTTTGCCTTCATATATATAAACATATATGTATATAGTTTAGTAGTATATGAATATATAAATATTATGATTCCACAATACCAGGATAAGGAATAGCAGGGAACAGTTCGTACATCGCGCATGAATTGTTTTCGACGTATCGCGTACTGTCTCATAAACGAATTGAACCAAACGCGAATCGAATATTTCATTCGCATTTGTTTTGGAGTATACACCTACTAAATAATAACAATGAACGTTCGCGTTTGCTGTTCGTTCGCTAAATGTATAGCCAGCTTAAAAAAAATGAAAAAATATCAATCTTGATAACGCGAAATTGTATTACAGTTTTTGTTAAAATAATATTTACTTGTATGTTGTGCACACAACATACAAGTAAATATTATTTTAACAAAAACTGTAATACAAAGATTAAATATTATATAATTGAGAAAGAAAGAATTATGAATATAAGAGAGTCTTAAAAAAGTAAAGATTTGAATAAAATTAGTCTTTAAGGACAAGTACACAATTTCTGGGTTATTCTGTATATATTCTGTATATATTCTGTATATAATTCTTTTGCTCTCTAAAACAAATATTAGAGCAAATGTACTTTCTATCTTCTCGTGCACGCTTTTCCACATTTCTCTTAATGCAACAAATAATATCACAGTTTGGAGATCAACAATCTGACAGTTGCACACGTACACCAAGAATGATGCTGCTTATGTATACAATACTCTTGTATATGGCTAGATTGGCAGTTTTTCAATATGGCATTGTTACCACAGATTTTGTATAGATTCCCAGTTTTGCATCATGATAAATATTCACACTGTTATTTAATGTACAGATCTTTACAGCTTTCTGAAAAAAATTTTAAATCACATTGGCTAACTGGTAAGGACACAGGGTGCATTATCTATCTCCTGTATAGTCTCTTTCCAAGTCTCCAGCGTAGGCGCACAAATCAAAACGAGGTCTCCGAGACGTCGTTTGGCCATTATTATGAATTCACCAGGACCATGTCGCGCCTTACACATTAATGGAACTCTCACGCGTATGTTTTTCTTAGAAGCTGTTATGTTGGTGTTCTCGTTATTCTGTTAATATGCATCATATTTTATAATTTAATTTGATTGTATATTATAAATTTGAAAGAATCTAAATCGTTATATTTCATCTCATAAAGCTCATTACCTCGGTTTCTTGAACGTGGCGTAGAATCTTGTTAACATTGAGCACCAATTCGGCAGTGTCTAGATAAATCTGCTCTTCAACAGCTGTGATAGTGCCTCTAGCAACCAAGTCACTCTGACAATAAGCATTGGCGAGTTCCTCCATAGAACATGGTCTGCATTCTTCTTCTTCATCTGAAACATGCAGTACACATCCTTTCGATGAAGCTGATTCTATTTCATATTGTAGCTTGACCTTGTTGTTTTTAAAGGAATAATCATCCTCCGCTTCCATGAAGAGGGCAACACGTTTTTGCCAGCGAAAGCATCGATGCGAATTTTCATGTTTGCCATCGGATGGAGAATAAATCGGTCTCAACATGTGGTTGGTTTCTAGGAACACTTGTACAGGCCCAGAGATCTTAACACATGTGCGTAAACCCAATTTAGTAAGATCGAGGGGACATCTTTGCATGGAAGAAGTTGGAAAAGAGAGGACCATTCTCATAGCACCACGAGGATAACTCCATAATACAGTTCCTCGTGTACAGCGCAGATACACTGCTCGGACACCACCACTTTCATTTTCTCCGCTATACAAAAAGAAGAGTACATATTTCAATGACATTTTTTACAAATATATCGAGATTATAATAACAGCATTAAGTTGTACATTATGCATAACATTAATAATGAAAAAGTATACTAAAATTTTTTCTATAGAAGTTGAAAAATGGCTAGTTGGAGAAATTTATGAAAAATAATATAATTCTATTCTACGGCCAAAGAGAGAAAGAGAAATTTAAATTACATCAGTTACGTACTAAATTTGAGAATTGTAATGTAGAATAGAAAGACACTAACCTTCCAGACCAGTCACATTGATCCACAATATGTTCGTAAGCGGATACGCTGACAAAAATCAAACTAACAACAACAATTATCGCGCGTAACATTTTCAATATATATACACTATATAACAATCGGTACAAACGTGTCATATGTTTAATGTCACAAGGATGCCATCGCGAAAATCGAATCGCGACAGAATACCTTCTTATTAATGAATTAAGTACTCGAAGAATAATCCTTCTTCTTGTTTCTAGAATACTTTAATCAAGAACGTAGTAAAAAAAAATCTCAACTGGATCGAAAATTCATAAAATAAGAACGCTTATAGTATGGAGTATTTCGACACTATCTTTCCAGATGGTTGGTTACTCGATGAACGACTGTGCGGGTTATGATACTTGAAAAGGAGATTTCGACTTTCTTGTAAAAGATACACAATGTTCACAGGAAAGGTGAGGCGGTACCGTATCGCGGACGGCAAACACAAGTCCAAATATACGTACAAAGAATGTAAACATAGTCTCACGATCGTCCTTGTTAAGGACCGCCCACCGAGAACGAGAACCTCGCCGCGTTCTCTGCCAGCTCTGCTTACGCGTTCTCTTCTAGACTGCGTGGATTAATTAGCACGTCATGGAAACGTGTTTCGACCATATGTACATTTAGTTTCTTCTATTTAGCTTTCTCTACTTCGTATCCTCGAAGATTTTCCCCCGATCTCCAGGCTTATCTTACAATAATGGTACAAATACGGGAAAAAGATCGTTGCATCCTCTCAGTTTTTCACTCACTCTCTCACTTTGATCTCTGATATGATTACACGACAAAAATGCTAGTGCAGGCTCCACTGACAAGTCTTCCTCGTTTGAGTCAGATTTGTTAGATTAGCTAGATTAAGATTACTTGGCGATACTTTGAGTCTTTAATTTCTTCCCTCGCATTTGATTAATGTAATCGTTTTATGATTAATGTAGTGCATGCTGTGTATTTCATATCTCTTACAAAAAAAAGGTAATAATCCACTTGGATCACAAAAATTTCGTTTCTTTAATTTCATTTAAAATTTTTTCGTTATCTCCCATTTTTTTGTCCATCATTAAATCTGACATCATGACTAGATCAATTAATCTGTGTGACTAATATTTACCCTGTCTTAGAAAAGAATTAGGAGATTATGTACTGCAAAGGAGTAAAAAATGCATATATATAAGCATTTAAAAATATATATATATATATATATGCATTAAAAAAAATATATATATATATATATAATTTATATATATATATATATATATATATATATATATATATATATTTTTTTTTTTTACCGTAAAGAAAAAGAGAGAGGATGATCAACAAGGCCATCACGAGATAGGATGCATCTGTCCAGGAGCTGGGTTAAATGTTCAAAAGGATCGAAGGGTCGACGCACCAAAAGATCGCCCATCAAAAAATCAATCCAGTCAGGAATCCTTTTTTCTTTCAGATACGATATCGCTTCTTGCTCTCGCATATTCTGCGATGCGCAATGATTGACGTTAATCTTACAAGGAATATCGCGCGTCTCTCGTTGTTCTGAAAAAAATAAATTTGAATAATTGCCCATAGAATTGAATAGATCAGTTGCCGATTCTTATCGAATTATTCCATTTTGTAAGACGGAAACAGATGGAAAAGTTATTGCCCTCCCGGATGCCTACGGGATTGAATTTCTTTTAGAATCAAGCTAGATTCAGCGCGACAATTATTTTTACTCATTTCGAGACCGGTATTTTATGACTGCTCGCGTTCAAAAAGTGGTCCAAAACAAATGAAATTTCCGCTTGTTGCCGCTGGAAAATTAAAGTTTCTATGACACAAGATTTGTCGATTCTGTGCAATATCGACCTTATTAAGCCGTAATCACACTACAGGTTGCGGACTCGGTTGCGATTGGAATTGACCAATCCGAGTAGCCGACCCACAAATTGCTTTGTTCTGATTGGTCAATTACAACTGCAACTGAATCCGCAATTTGTAGTGTGATTACGGCTTTATATTTGTTTCAATCTTATTGCGATGTATCCAATTACGACGATTTCTTGGTAGTTATTCGATATTGTTAAAATTAGAGTTTTTGATTTAAATTTGTTCAATAAATATATTAAATTCTCTTATATTTATTGAATTTTATATATTAAGTTCTGGTAATTGTGAAAGAGAGTGTGGTGTCCTCATATAATATGTAAAGTTTTTTTATTTACTCAGCTGATTTTGACAATTAAATTCTTTACAAGTTAATTATTAAATAATAGTTAATTGTGCAATATAATAAATGTATTTTTAATTCCTTTTAGAGAGAATATGGCAATGTTATTCAGTAGAAGTGCATCTGTACTCTGGCAGAATCCACAACATAGGCTTTTGTTGAGCAAAACATTCTGTACTTTAGACTATAAGAATTACAGAGAAAATAGGCACAAATATGAGTACAGACAGACTCGTAATTATAAAAATTTTGGTCATACCAGAACAAAACATACCTTTAAATATAGTTTGACACTTTTCATCCCCACCATTGGATTATTTATATCTACGTGTGTTGGTTGGGATCGGTGAGTTAATTGTGATATTAAATATCAAGAGTAAAAAATGTTAACGTTGTAAATATTGTAAACATACATAAAATAATTCTCGAAAATTAAATTTTGTTATACAATTTTGCTAGTAGATTAATATAAAGTATTATCTTGCAGATTATTTAATATAATACCTAAAGTACCTAAAGTAGAAGCAGCCAGCATGTTAGTGGAAAAGATTCAGGATAATGAAAACATGGAACAGACAGAACAAGATTTACAAAAGAAGAAGAAAAAAAAAGACAAGATTGGATTTCGCGATAGAAAGGTTTATTAAAGTATATTCTTGATATTGATTTCACATATATATCTATTAACATAATTTTTCAAAAATATTGAGTAATTTCTACATACATTACATCAAATACTTGTATTTACATTATTTATATCATACAAATTGTATTTTTATTATTAAAAAAACAAGACATCGATACTTGTATTTTTTCTTGATTATATATAAACGAAAATTAATAATTATAGAGTAAAATAAGGAAAAGAGACATGCAATGTGCAATAATTATTTTTGTATATATTGTTAAACACAATATAGTATTGTATTTAACAATAAACTAGACATAACAATTTTATTGCTTTATTTGCATCAGCATGTATCTGTACAGCAGAACGATGCAGGCTGAAGTGTTTTTGCAGATAATAGAGTACGAGAACAGGATAAGGGCGTATTCAACGCCAGATAAAATCTTTCGTTATTTTGCAACTGTTAAAATGACTAACTTAAACAATGTTGAAATATATATGACACCTGATGATTTTATACGTGCTATCACACCAAACATGCAACAGCCAAATGGTAGGGCTTTTCAAAATTGTTATATTGGTGCTAATGCAGTATATAATCTACTTGGAATTTATTTACCTGGAATTACTTGTCTTTCTATCTATAATTAACTATTTTACTATTAAATCTTTACTAAGCACTACTTACTTGTTTCGCTCTGCTAACCAGAAGCTTTGCAATTCTACATGATACAATTTGCATGAAGAAAATGATTGATTGTCGAAAGACATGGATAATGGAGCATAAAAATTGGAGCATATTGTACACTACTAATCCTTTGCAAGAATCTTGCATATTTTTGAATTTTGATTACCAACTAACTGTGTGTATGTGCAGATAATAGAATATGAAAATCGTATAAGGCATTACTCCACACCAGACAAAGTATTCCGTTACTTCGCGACTCTCCAAGTCTCGAACAACGATTTGCATGAGGTGTTTATGACGCCAGATGACTTTTTAAGATCAATGACACCTGGCGTGAAACAGCCCGACGGTAATCCGATTATGCTTCGCTTGTTTTACATTTTTTTCAGATTAAATGTTGCTTGGCAGTACTCCCAGTTAATTGCAAAATTATGTTGACTGATTGCAAAGATATCGCAATCAATTGCAATCAGTTCTTTTGCATGTGCAAATTCAATTAACATTTTAGATAATAATTAACATTTTAAATAAATTAACATTTTAGATAATAATTATAATTAAATAAAATTATGAGTTGTAATTATAATTTGCAAATTATAAAAGTTTTATATTACAATTATATATCAGTTTGTATATTAAATCATGTAAAAGATATAAGAAAAAGGAGGCTTTATTAATTATAACATCATTGACTTTTAGGTCTTGGACTGGATCAGTACAAGCGTTATGATCCAAAGGTATATTAAAGAAACTCAATAAAGAACAAACATGCAAGATATTCCTATGTGACAATATTTTCTTTTCTTTTAGAATATTCATACAAAATTAGAATTGGAATTGGATGAAGACAGCATCTTTTACAAACTGGGCAGTGCAGGCCTCATTACTTTCTCTGATTACATCTTTTTGTTGACAGTATTATCAAGTAAGTTGTATATCCACTATTTCATATTAAATTTTAATTATATAGGAAAATATAAGAAAGAAATTTATATTTAAATATATATATAAATTAAATTTTCTAAGATATACTATATGAATATTTTAATGGCAAAATTTTATTTTATAGCCTCCAGACGACACTTTGAAATTGCCTTTAGAATGTTCGATTTCAATGGTGATGGCGACGTCGATTCCGAGGAATTTGGAAAAGTGGCTACGTTGATACGGCAACAAACTAGTATAGGCACTCGACATCGTGATCATGCAACCACAGGAAATACATTTAAGGTCATAACTAATTTATTAATATTTGAATAAAGTTTTTAAAAAACAAATATTAAACGCGCTTATTAATTCTTTGTAAAAAGAATAAATATAGGAACGGGTTATTAACTCTTGATGTGTCGAAATTATATATTTAAAAACTCAGTATTTAATTGAAAATAATTAAAATTTTTTTTATTTTAGGGAGTGAATTCCGCACTAACTACGTATTTCTTTGGACCACAAATGAATCAGAAATTAACCATCGAGAAATTCTTGGATTTTCAACAACAACTGCAACGAGAGATTTTGAGTCTTGAGGTAAAGATCAATCGGAATCTGCATAACATAATATAATTCATTAATTTAATATTTTCATTTATATTTGATTATTTAATGTATAATTATATATATATATATATTTTTTACTTAGTTTGAACGACGAAATCCAGATGAAAATGGTAATATCACTGAGGTAGATTTTACGGAATTACTATTGGCTTATGCCGGATATTCAGCGAAAAAGAAGGCGAAGATGTTGAAAAGGGTGAAAAAGACGTAAATATATGGAAATATTTAATTTTTTTATATTTTTAAATTTTACATACTCAAATATTGATTGTTTACAGCTTCAAAGAAAATCCGAAAGGGATTAGCAAAGAAGAATATCTCAAATTCTTTCACTTTTTAAATAACATTAATGATGTAGATACAGCCCTGACATTTTATCATATAGCCGGCGCATCTATCGATCAAGGTATAATCTAGAGAATGATTTTTAGATTAATCTCACAAATATTTTATTTTATTGGAAAATAATCAATGTTATTTAAAATATTATAGCAATGTGTTTTGTATTTTTATTACGATATTTATTATTTATTCATAAATATTTATAATTATTTCTATGTAATATTGCAGCGACATTAAAACATGTAGCAAAAACTGTAGCGCACGTCGATCTGAGCGATCATATTATTCAAGTGGTGTATACAATTTTTGACGAAAACAGTGAGTTATTTTTACAATATAATCTAATGTATACTATCTAATTGTACTATCGCTAATTAACAGACTGTTAAAAACGTGACTGTAATATCTGTGATAAAATATATACACAAAGAAATATCTCATCTTGAATATGGTAAAATTATTGAAATATGACATATTGAAATACATTTTATTTTTTGTAGTGGATGGACAACTTAGCAATCGGGAATTCGTTGCTGTGATGAAAAATCGTGTTCTTCGCGGTTTGGAAAAATCGAAAGATACTGGATTTGTCAAGTTAATTCAATCTTTGATAAAGTGTGCAAAAAACAGCAATCTCCTGTCGTACGATAAATAATTAAAGCCACACATAACGACCTAAATGCTATTTAATTTATATGTAATTAAATCAATTCAATTCATTGTAATTTATATAAAAATATAAAAAATTATTAGTCTCAAAATTGAGAAAATGATAAAATAACATTTATGATAGAATCGTTATATTGATGCTTGTAGTTTATATTATTATTAGGAGAGAGTTAGATTATTTGTATTATAGCAAATTTTATATAAATGATGCATTATACTAGTATACTTTCACTATTCTATGAAGTAGAGCATGAGATATCTCAGTCAAAAAAAGTTATAAGAGTTACAAGTTATAAGAGTTACAATTTTATCTCAGTGAGCATTCAACGTTTGTTCAGCAAACATCAACAGATCTTATCTTGTATTACAATTTCAAGCTAAATTGTTAAATATAATAATGCATACAAAATATAATTTCAATTTATTTCTGACACAAACAATACTAATACTGCTTGTCATAAATTTTATCATGGCCAATTTATTGGAAAAACTTACAGAAAAAACTTTAACAGGCAAGTAATTTATCAATTGTGAATCATGACTCAATTGCATATTTTATATCTTACAATATTAGACATTAATTTATTTTAAATATCAGATTCACAAATTACAAATAAAGAAGAAATTCCAAAGCAGGAAATAGTGGATGTTTCAATAGGACAATACTTTCAGTGAGTAGTATATTTGCAAGATGATAATTATTTGTAACATTTTGATAACATTGAGCCTATAAAATTTAGAGATATATTTTCTGAACATCTTGCACCTCTTAAAATTGAATTTGGACATGTCTGTGAAAATCCTAATGAATGGGAACAAAGATTTGAACAAAAGGATTTTGATAACAATCGTCATAGCGGCAAGGTATAATTTTTTTATTTTAAAAAATTATATGTTAAAGATATAAGTATATTACTTATTTAATGTAAATCAAACATAACATTCTCTATTATATAATATGTATTGCATTAAATAATACATTTTATGTTATATATTTTCTATTTTACTACTTATAATATTTTTATTAATTAATCTGAGTAATGTTTTATTTATTTATAATTTATACATATTCTTTTTTATTAAATCTAGTTTATAACTTCATGATTGTTTGTATTTTAGATAAAATGGGGTAACAAGAATGGAGATTACGGCGAGCAGTATTGGGACTTAAATCATTAATCGTGGATCGTGGAATTGTTTACAAATAAACTGATATAATCTTTATTTAATAATTCTTTATTCAAAATTATTCTTATATATAGTTTAATAATGTAATTGTTATAAAATAAAAAGATTTTAATAGCAGAAAAAAATTATAAATGAGTGCTTAAAGAAATGAAAACTTGTAAAATAAGAAATTATAAATAAAGAAATTAATATAATTAAAAATAACTGATATTATAATAGAAGTTAGTATGTAATGTTGGCCACAATTTGTTTTGAATAATGATGAAAAACGAGATGACTAAACGTGAGCATCGGTGGTTCAGTGGTAGAATGCTCGCCTGCCACGCGGGCGGCCCGGGTTCGATTCCCGGCCGATGCAGTTTTTTTTTTATTTTTATAAACACAAAATATATATAATTTTTAAAAATTATAGAATTATATTATTCTTTAATGAATGAATTTCTATTAGAGAAAATTATTCGCAAATAAAAAATAACAAAAAAATAAGATTGCATCGGCCGGGAATCGAACCCGGGCCGCCCGCGTGGCAGGCGAGCATTCTACCACTGAACCACCGATGCTTGTACAAGAGCTTCTTTCCTTACTAATCTAGTCATATTTAATATATTAAAGAGACAAAGGATCTATAAAATTGAAGTTAGTCATTAAACTAAAGACGTTGTTGATTGTCCTGAATATAGACATATAGACGCTGCAAGCTATGCGTTTTCTGTACTATATATTACAATATATTAGGTCGAGATCACGCGAGAGGCAAGATCTTTATTTGTTTTTACTAATATAAAGAAATAAAAATAACTTCTAATTTTCTCTCTCTTTTAGGACGTATATCATATCTGCAGCTGCAGCTGAGTTCATCTTTATATGTATGTGTGTCTACAGCCTAATCCTAAGTAAATAATCATGGAAATTGTAGACAGACTGGCGGTCTTTCCAACGTCCAGTTCATATACGAGTGTGAAATGTCGTCTGATCTGCGCACGCAGGAGTCGCGATTTGCTCGCAAAAAAGATCGATGGTCTCTTAATCCTGTTTCGCACGATTCTATCGCGATTATTCGAAAATAAATTGCAAGTCGACGAAGCCATGAGGATCGCGGCTTTTTCGTTAGCCGAAGTGAATTACGTGACAGGTGGGGTAAACCAATTGGTCCTGGAGACGGTTGATAAAGCTAGAACCAGGATTCGATGCAGAGAGGAGATCATCGGCGGAGTTCGATTGAGGATTTACGAGCCCTATCGCAACGGTGATGATCCCTTTGAATTTACTGGATTATCCAGAGGCGGTCAACAAGTAATTATCATGCGTTATACGATAAGAAAGATGCTATACGATAAGGCGATATAATCTTCAATTGTCAACTATTAACTATAATTGAACTTTAACGTACTAGCCTAATACTTAATATGTCAGCAGGTTGCTAAATTGAAGAAGAATTATGAAAAGGCGACCGATCTGTTGATCGAATTAGCGTCGTTACGGCATAATTTCCAGATGCTCGATCGAGTAATTAAGGAGACCAATCGTCGCGTAAATGCACTGCGATACATCATTATACCGCGATTGGAACGGACCCTTGCGTACATCATCACCGAACTCGACGAATACGAACGAGAAGAATTCTATCGCATTAAAAAAATACAAGAATTGAAGATAAAGCGACGTAACGGGAAATTCTCTTACAATCCGATTCAAGATGCGAATATATTCGATGACACGGACGAGGATCTTCTTTTTTAGCGCTGTTATTAAAAGCGAAATTCTGCCATGAATACGTACGTTTGAATTTTCAGGAGGAAAGGAATCCGCACGCGTTATTGTTTACATTGTCTAATAAATTTCTCAGTCTACTCGGAACAAGAAAAGGGGGATACGGTCATCCTGTAATAAATGCCGGAGCGCGCCAGACAGCCGAGGAGAAAGCGCGAAGACCTGAACGAGACAGAAAGACCTGAAAGATGACAGAACGAGATGGGAAACGAAAATCGGAGGGGGATCCGAGCGAGCTGCGGGCCCAATTATACCAAGAAAATACAGCCCATAAAACCAGCCTAACTGCTGCCAAACATCGGGATATGATAATGAGAACGTGACTGTTGCTCTTTCCTGCTTCTAGCCCCGTCGATAGATCTCGTAGATATGTAGCAGCTGCCAAAACGAGAAAAATGCTCTTTTCTACACGAAAATTTCAACTGTCCTATCAGATATTTTGCAACAAATTTTTACGCGAAATATTTCCCGATAATAATTTGTCTTCGAGAACAAGTTTCTTTACTATTTTTGCGTCCAATCATTTAGATTTTTTAAGTGTCTTACCATAAATTGTATATGTATGATCTTATACATATTTGATATTATATAAAATCTATATAAATTGCACATGAAAACGCGAAGTGATCGAATAATAGATTCGATCGCTATATGGACGTGTACGCAAGCGGGACGGAAATCCTGGCGGACGAGAGAAACCAGAAGACCCTGTAAAGAGACAAACAAAGGAGGAGGGGATAAGCAGACGGGCGCGATCGTAGGTAAGCGTTCAGTCGTACGGTAACCTTCGATGAGGAAGGTCGCGTGCAAGTCAGTCTGATTAATTATCATTCGCGATGATTTGCCCGGGGGATTATGGTAGCACGTGCAATCGTCTTTCGCGATCGGTGATGATGCGCGTTTAAAGGAGACAGTGCGCGACGTTTGTGGCCGGGAACACGACCGATTATGCGGCGTCTGTCTTTGTGATTCACTGCGTTGGAGCTGAAGCTGCGCTCCCGCGCTCATTTTGAACGCATCAAATTCTTGTCACGTGTCACGTTGAATTGTGACTGATTTTATTACTTTGATTACTGCGTGTGTATGTGCACGCGTCCGTGCGTGCATACGTGCACGCGTGCGTACGTATGCGTTCACGAGTAATCTGTAAAAACTTGTATCGTTTCTGGGGAGACGAAATCTGTTTCGGAACAGTTAAAGTAAAATTTATTATTTAATAGATTATTACGATCACGTAAATTGATAGTATAAACAACAAATTATACATCAAGTGCAATTTATATCGCGGAGGACAGAGTGAAATTAAGTTATCATGTCGAGAGATCTGGGTGTCTGGCCGTTGAATCTTGATTAAGTTGAAATCAAGGTCGAATCTGTACTGGAGAAAGAAGCCAATTAATCTCGTTTAATGCACAAACAAGTTAATTAAAGTATTCGTTAAATCAAGCTCGGATTTGACAGCTCTTTAAATGAGGCTGTGACAGGACCGTAATTAAGAAAAGGAAGAAGTTCCGGTTCAATGAAGAGGGCAGAGTTAAATCTTCATTAATTTAGAAGGCACGTCTCTTCGTATGTTTCTTAATTAAATTTCAACTTTTCAATTTACATTTCATATCTTTTTAAATATATTTTTTTCTCCATACATTTTTCTATTAAATTTGCATACGTATAAATTCTTTTTTATCAAATTTCAATTAAAGTGACCGTTTATTGAGCGAAATTTCAAACATATTTATATATATAGGATTTATCATTCTTATTTTGTATTTTTTCAGAGGTCACAAAATCTCTACATGATGCGTAACCGATACTTCGATATGTTTATCGATCGGCGGTGGGTGGCATATATGACGCAAAATTCGAAGTAGCTCTTACGATTGTAATTTTAAGAACGGAAAATGTATTGGATATTGTTGTTGATATTATTAGTGCGTGCAATATGGTGCGCGCACGGCGCCTGCGAGCCGATCAGAATCGAGATGTGTCGCGGTCTCGGCTACAACGTCACTGTCATGCCGAATCTAGTCGGTCACGAAATTCAAGGCGACGCCGATTTTACCTTACAGACGTTTAGCCCGCTTATTCAATACGGATGCAGGTAAACGCCTGTTTCATATATGATAGTTTTATATATGATTTATATAGTAACAATATTTAGCGTCTAATAGATAAATTTAAATGTAACGTCATATATAAATTTTTCGCATGCAAAAACAACTAAACGTCATAAAGAAATCTACTAAATATAAATTTTGAACATGAGAAACATGATAAAGTATATTTCTTCATATTGTTTTTTGAATTTTAACGATACTGCATTTATATCTATACAAGATTAATAATGTATATAATTTATTGCAGCGCGCAGTTGCATCTATTTCTGTGTTCGGTTTATGCACCGATGTGCACCGAAAAGGTGCCCGCACCCATTGGACCTTGTCGAGGTCTATGCGAGCAAGTACGAGCCCGTTGCTTTCCGGTACTTCAGGGATTCGGCTTCCCTTGGCCTGCTGCATTAAATTGTTCCAAGTTTCCACCGGAAAACAATCACCAACACATGTGCATGGAAGGACCGGGCGAGCCTGGGCCAGCTAATCCTATCCAAGTATTTAACGATATATACTTTAATCGATTATATATATACGCAAAATTGTTGTGTGGCAATTGTCCGACTATTATCTGTACTTCAATATGATTATTATTCGCCTCTTCAGGCGGTGAGCGCTAGTAATGGACCCTGGGGCTGTTCCTGGTACGCTAAATCTGGATTGTACATCTTTCTGAATCGCTCCGGAAGATGTGCCGCTGCTTGCGACGCGGATATTCTGTGGTCCCAAAAGGACAAGGGACTTACAGAGGCCTGGATGGTTGTATTCACGACGATTTGCCTCATCTCCATCGTGATAGCTATCTTGATACTTCTAAAACCACGCAAACAGCCTGTACTGACCACTGCCGCAGGTAGGAATTTTCTTCCGAATTAGAAACATTTTCGTTAAATGATAAATTATTCCTTTTCATTTTAACGCTTGAATTCTGAATTTTTTAACTTTGAAATTAACTTGAAAACTTCACACAATACTATTTGCAATATCTTAATCGATTCTTTGAATGTCGTTTTTTCAAGACTATCGGGTTGAAGATTTGAGAAAGAGATTTAGTATTATCTTTAATATAATAAAAATAACATCTGCTTGCAGATCGTGCAATAGTCTTCTTGACGATCTGTCATACGATAGTCGCAATCGGTTATGTGATCCGATTGGCCGCTGGCCGGTTGAACGTCGCCTGCACGTCCGCGATTCCACTGCATCCGCAGGAGCAAATTGTCTTGGCCCAACAGCAACAGCAACAACAGTACCTCACGCAAGACGGTTTAGCTAATCCTTATTGCGCCGTTGTTTTTCTATTGCTTTATTACTTTGGAAATGCTGCGACTGTTTGGTAAGTCTTTATATTTGTTTTACATTCTTTAAAATAACAACTATAGACTATTGTTTTGAATAACAATTATCTTTCATTATTTTAATTCGTTATATCTATAAATAACGTATTCGTTTATTTTTTTTGACGTTTCAATTGAAGAAGGAATTTTGGCAGGCTCTTCTATTGCTCGATTTTAATTACGTACAGATGTGAGAACCGAAGGATATCCGTGTAACGCGTTTCGAAGTTGTCGGTTGTTTCGGAGCGCCTTGTTGCACTCTCGCCTCGCTGCGGCGAGACTGCATCGTCCGAGGTAGGGATAACAATCTGGCAACAGTGTTGACTCCCCTCGTGCCGCTAACGAGCCTCTGACTCCCATCTCGTCCCATCCCATCTCATCCCGTTTATGCTGAGAGGCTCATCTTAACTCGTCTAACGGGTGGCATAAGTAAAAAATCGTCTGACCGTGTTTGCTTCGATAATCCATTACTATCGCGTTATGTAAAATAGATTTCTGCTTCGTCAGATTTACAGATCGATAAAGATCTCGATACATCTTACAGAAAGTAATGCGATATACATGTATACTTTTGGCTTGAACATGGTAAAATTTGATAATGCAAAGGATTAAAATTCAAGTATTTGTACAAAAAAGCTTTGTAAATGATTGTAGATGACTCCTCCTTTATTTCATTTTCATCAAATCATCGGTATTTGTAAATCCAATTCAAAGATCTTTAAATTTTTCGTTGTCTACGTATTATTGGCATTTATGATTTTTAAGTTCTTCGCTTTATATACCTTGTGAAATTTTTGTTTCTTTTAGTCTTTTTTTACCTTCGGCTACCTTTTGATTTTCGAAATAAACGAGAGTCACCCGATATATGAGGTGGGTCGAGAGGAACCTTGTTGCCAGATATGCATGGAGTCAATGGCATTCCATCTTAGAGAAAGCAAGCTGCTTCTAGACGGAGAAAGAAGGCGCGAGAAAAGCAGAACAAGAGAGAGAGAGAGAAAAAGAAAGAGAGAGTGAGAGAAACGGGGGTTGGGATGGGAGGTGAACAAAGCGATGCTTCTCGGACCAAGCAAAGAGCAAGATGATTCACAATGCATGGATGCAATTTGTGGTTGAGATTGTGTATGCAAATGAGTTTCGCGAAATTCGATCGTCTCGTCGAATGAATCCTTGAATTTATGTGAATATTTGAACATAAAAAATTCATCTATAAATACCAAGATTTTGGAGATTTCCTTTTGTATAAATTTTGTTGATTTTGAATCCATACAGTTTCGAATTTTCCAATTTTTAAATTTGTAGACTTTCACTTTACAATTCTTACATTTGAAAGAATGAAAGAATCAATACATCTATCGTAAAGGTTCGGCCCTGGACCCGAATACTTTTGTATAGCTGTAGCAAACTGGTCGTATAGCGTATGGCCATAATTTACATCGAAAGAGCCGATAAACATCGCGCCCTACGGACACGAAGCAATGGACCCGTAGGACCTTGCAACCCCTGCCATGCATTGTTCTGTCTCGCTTTTTCTACTACCCTTCTTAATTCTTTGTAACTTATAACAAGTTTACATGAAAAAGGACGATTTTAAAGTCAAAATTACACGCTACTCACTAGAGAATAGAAACGTAACTCGACCTTGTAAACTTCGCTTTTATTTTAGAATAATTTATTAGCAAATTAAAAATGACTTCTGCGTAATTTTATTTCTATGTATGCATAATTTATGGCTATATTTTTTCCTGAAAAGTCGATATAGATTTATCTGTAAAATTGTTAATATGTAAATGACGTTCTACAATTCTCGTTAGAGCCTTCTATCTCCAAGAATCAAACCGGTAATTGACGTTGCTACGCCATTGACAAAGAGGATCGTACGGGCTTCATGGTAATAGGTAGTCCGGCAGTTTCGTTTCCGTTTCTCTTTTTTCTCTTCCTTCTTCGTTCTCCCCTTTCCCCTCCCTCTCTTTCCCCAATGCCCTAACAGTTTGACGGCCGTCTCAGGAACGAGGAGAAAAAGGACAAGTCGAAAGAGGGGCTCGAGGAAAGAGCTGATCCATCATCTCTCTCTCAATGCCCAGCCGGGCCTTAAAGCTTAAGGATCCGGATCCGAGAATTCCTCGATAATTTATCCAAGATAAGAGCTCTTCGGGAATGGTGGAGCCGTCGAAGTCCCGATAACAAGCCGCTGGCATTATCCAGTGCATCCAGTGATCCCAGAGAGAGCTTTGTCCATCATTTATATATACATAATATAAATATAATATAATGTTGATATACAAGATTAAAATATATAAACAACACGATACTAATTATGGAGCTGACATGAACACTCGGAAGATTTGTCTAATTAGAATAACAATATAGTTCGAGGAGCGCATATAGTGATTATAAGAAATACTTTGTAATTTTAACGACTGGTCGAACTTATTTGTATTCTATTGTTAGGTTTATACAAAGAGCTCGGAGAGCGGCTCTGGTTTATCATCAAAGAGATTCAAGAATCTTTCGTAATCGCTCACGCAAGTCGGTCCCGCATATGGATCTCGCGATGGGCATAAGTTTGCGTGCATAAACAGACTCTTTCATGCGATGCATCGACACTGCGCTCAATTTTTCCGAATTCGTCATGAAAAAAAGATGAAGCAGATCGAAAAGAGAAAGAGAGAAAAAAGGGTGAAAACAGGGAGGAATGCGAAAGGAGGTACCGTCGTGTATAGAGGTCCCCGCAGGGTATATAATCAGCGAGATGAGATGAGAGGGGTACTAGCTACCTCTTGTTTGTTTTGTTAGTTAGCGAGTCGTTAGGTAGTCTCTCTCCTCTTTCTCTTCCATCGCTTGGCTCAGAGCGTCCGAGTTGTACGGAAACTGTGCGAGTGGTCGACCACCCAACCGTGCGTATCAACAATTACGAGGAGGGAGAGATATCTCATGCCACGACTAATCGGTCTTATTACGTGTAGGCACTCTGATGAGATTAAGCTCGTTATTCCTTGCAATCGTATTAACTATGCCCGTGTGGATCGATGTCGCTAGGCGAGAAACGATAAAGCAATTTCACTCCTTTTCCTCTTCTGACAGACATACCTTCTATCTGTCTGTCTGTCTCTTTTTTCCTGTACATTTAATTTCTTTTCTGCAGGCAAATTTCTCAAAATCAATCTAAACTTGTATTCGATTCGGTATTCATCGGTATTCGATAGTTTGCAAAGCGATCGCACCTCGCAAAGTGTTAATCATTTCTTCTCCCTTTCCTTTTTTATCAACGTTCCACAAATGCAAAAAGTCGCGCATCGCGCGTGTGCATCGCGTCGCTCCATTCATCACAGCACGATCGGAATTCGTTGGGCGAGTTTTTGCTTTTCCAACACGATAAGTTAAAAGGGAATTACCGAATCTCTGCCGAATCTCTTCGCATTAATCCTGTCCGACTCACAGTTTCACGGCTTCTTTATTGTTCTCATTTTGTGAGGGATCTCTGATAGATACATTAAACTCAACGTTCAAAGCATTTTTCGTCTTCTTTATAAGAGAGTAATTATGTCTTGAAAGAAAAAAATAGCATTATTTAAAAATATATTAATAAAAAATATTATTAAAAAAGACTAACTGTTAAACGTTTTCAGATATGGTAAAGGTGTGAGACCAACTACCTGTTGGTGGGTCTGTAAATGTTGTAGATCCGCGCGAAGAGACATGGCTACCGTTGTCCACTCGGTAAATACTAGCGGCCGCAAACACTCGAGAAGGTTGACTCGCCTTACGAGATACCGGTACATCCCATGAGAAAAAAAATCTAAAAAATAAACAATATGTTTCTTATAAAAAAATATTTAATTTATATATATGTCACATATTTTTTTTAGATTTTAATTAAAATTAGTATCATGTCGATTATTGATTAACGTCAAATTCTCAAATGCTGTTGCTAAGTAGGTATCGTATCTATTATCACTATATTATTTCAATAGTGAGGATTATGTTACGAGTGATACAGGAATAGCACATTTTGCGCGATAAATCGCAATCTGAGTTTTATTTTATTTTTTTTGCGTAGATATCTGCGATAAAAATATTTGAGGACAACGAATTATTCATTTATTCGCTGAGAACCTTTTTGGAGGCTGGAATGAACAATGGTTTAGCGGTGTGTGCTGGTCGCGTGTGAGACAGCAAGAATGCCTCTTCTCCTCGTACATAGTGTCGTATACATGCACGTGCAACTGCGCCGTGCCTGCTTATAATCCGTTTCTTCCAGCAACCAGTCTGTCGAGAAAAAGAAAAGAAGAAAGAGCAGTTGCGGTGAAAAGCCGACTAATTAATCACGCGAGTCTTCGACAAGATCGAAAAGCAGCGCGAACAGGTCAAACGAGGCGCAAACACTCGCCCGCTCGACTGCCTCGGGTCATTCCATCTCGCTCTCGTGCTTATTCTACCGTATCCCTTTCTCAACCTCTCTTGCATTCTTTCTTCTTTTATTCTACGGAGAGCTGTAGTAAGTTCTCTCGCAGGACCGTATAATCGACTCGAAGAAGCCTCCGGAGAAGTCTTCGCATCCATCGACCAAAATTTTTCGTCTCTTTGCATCTTTCGTAATTCTTTTTTTATCCTTTAATTTAGCCTCTTGATACACATTGTATTTTAATTTTTGAAATTGTAGGATAATTTAACGAGTTGTTCCTGCAAATGATTTGAAATTTCTCCGTGTTATTCGATACGATTTTGGCCGCAGGTGGGTCGTGATATGCGCGTGGTGGTGCATAATGGCCAGAAAGTGGACGAAGACGACCGGCAAGGAGGATAGTTTAGGGCAAGGATTCTCAACCATCGCTGCTGTTTTGGCTTGGGGCCTCCCCGCCACGCACACTATTGCTGTACTGGTTACAAGAGATGTCGATGCCGACGAGTTGACCGGTAGGTATTATTGCATTCTTTAATTCCATAAGATTGAAGATCCTACGAAATTGTAAATCAATCAAGTATATTTTTTTCCAAACTTTTACCTTTCCAAACTTTCGTCCATCCTAATAATTTAACAGATTTTTAAATTATCGAGCTAAAACCTAGCATTCGCCAATAGCACGTTGGTCAGTCTTCTCTAAGAAGAATGCCCGGAGGATTTTACGGCCACGCCTCGTTATACCGTTTGTTTTATGAGGTTGCGCCATTGGCGTAGTTGGATCCTCACAAGATCAAACTCGATTCATCAGCGTAAATTCTTGTCAGTCTCTGATAATTGTTTTTTTCTCGTCTTCACTCTGCCTATCTATACATCTATCTTTATATGTCTTTGTCATCTCCTCTCCATTTATCTTAATTCGAGCTTCAAGTCCAGCTGAGGCTATTTTATGCTAATACGTACCGCTCTCTCGTGTTTATGTTCTCGATAAGTTATGCTCGAGGGCGACCAGCGAGATTAGCATCTTTGAATTAAATGACCAGTCTGCAACATAGTAATACCTGTCTACGTATCCAACCTTCGATTACTTTTACAAGCGTTATACTTATTTTTGAATACAAAGAAAATTATATTGGAAACTTATATTGGAAACTTATATTGTCATAACATATATAAATAAATACAGTGAATTTTAATGTTAATTATGTTGAAATTAATTATGAAGTTGAAGTTAATTATATGTGAAATTGGCATTTTTCTAAATATTTTATATTTATTAAAATTTCGCACACAATTTTTAGCGTCTAATATCTTTATCAGATCTTAATTAACTTTCAATCGTAGGGAAAGAAATGAAATTGGATCGAATCGCGGTTAATTCGTGGATCGCGGAAGGAATGTCAGCGATGTGCTCCACTTGTCAGTATGTCGGATTCCGCTGCACATTCTCTGTGCAAAATAAAAATTTTCCCAGTATGTGAGAAGCAGGACCGAAATTCTTTACGCGTGTTCTCGTTAATACGTTGTTTTATAGATATTCGAATTTCTATTGCGAGATGTATCAGAGAGCATATTTTCATATGATAAATTATTAGACACGCAAAAATATGTAGATATTTCTTTACGATGATAATAGGTAGAAATACATAATATCTATGAATCTGTCGGTGTAATATTCACTGTTGAATTTGCATACTTTCATATGTCAAATCGAGTCAATTTTCTGACGGCAAATTTCGAGAAAGTTGCATGCACATAAAGGAACAAACCCGGTTAGTCCAGATCTTGTCTCTGTTTCTCTATCTCTCTTTTTCCTAGCAGGCGACATTCAATGCAAATACTTTCAAACTTGCCCTGCAACTTGTCACTGTCCGCCAATAGGACCAAGAGGCTACTTTAAGACTCGAAACTTCGCATGCAGAGATTTTAATCAGAGATTCTCTCATCATCCCCCGATCTGCATTTTGTAAATTAGTTTTTGAATTACTTTATCAAGGAAATGCCCAAAAAATGCAAATACTCAGACTAAACTATAAATTTTATATTTGATTATTCATAATAGAATATTATATTATTGATTATTTTTCTGACAAAAAGCAAAACTTCATAAATAAATTGTGGAGCTAGTTCTCACCCGGTAAATAGCTCCACTTTCATAAATGGAGAAAACGATCCTTTCTCTTAAAATGAGGTAATACTTTACGAACATACAAATGTCTTAAAAAATTGTTTGCGTTCACAAAATATTCTTTTTCTGTTGCAGCAAATTGCTTCGTTGGCCAGCAAAATACGCACTCTCTACTTGTATTAGTGCTAGCTCCGCAATTCATTTATCTATCATTCGGCATAACGTTTCTACTAGTGGGTTTAGCATCATTGACATTGCCACGACGTCCGATAGTGACGCAGACGTTGACATCGGCATCATCATCGTCGGCGACAACTGCGGCGGCGGCATCTACGACGACGACAGCAGTTTTAACGGCGTTAACAACGTCCCATACGAATCCGCTGATGCGTCAGCAGCGCGAGATATCCGGTAAATCGTCGCCGGCCGAGATCCATCGGCGACAAAAGCAGCTGCTAATCCGCGTCGGCATTTTCACTTGCCTTTATGCCGTTCTGATAATCTGCCTCGTCAGTATAACTTTTTACGAATGGTGGGGCAGAGAGATGTGGCTCCGAGCACCGGAGCCATCCACGGCACCGCGTGTGCCCGCTCGACCTGTGTTGCAATTATTCATACTGCGACTGGTACTAACTCTTGGCGCCGGTGTCATGGCCTCCGCGTGGATCTGGTGGCCGGAAATAACCAGCATATGCCGCAAACTGTCGCACTGCAAACAGCCACCACACAAATGCCATCCGGTGCCTGTTGTGCATTGTTATAGCGCCGGCACCGCTAGTCCCGTACCTCATCAGATTCATCATCTCAGTCATTTGACGCCACCGCAACATCCTTTGTTACATCAACACGCAATAACAAATTCGCAGATGCCACATAGAAACTACAAAAAGTATCGGAAACATCGAAAACATCATTCCGGCAGCGAGACACAAGTCTGAAACTCGCAATTACGCGATGTAGCTCGTTATTACAAAGTGCCTTAAATATGTATTTAGTTTTTTAAATAATATGTAGAAGCGATACGAGCGTAATGTATCCCTTGCCTGCCAATTTTTCATGTGCATGTAAAATCATTCGTTCTAATTTAAGTTTTTTATCGTATTGTTCATTTCATAATTTTTTATTGATGCATTCTATTCATTCCACGTTCATAATGTAAATTTAATGACATTTCTCTTCCTCTTAAGATAGAACTGTGTGACGCATCTTTATCATAATTCTGCAAATTTATTAGAAAATAGTTTACATTATTAAATTACTGTAAATGGTGCGTCTTCTAGATACGTCATTGAATTTATTTTCTGTAATATTCGACAACGAGGGGACGATGAATGCTAAATTTAAACCTCGAAGAATAGTCGTCGGAAGAGAAGAATGCGTTTATTTTCGTTTCCTACACGTGCAACGCCGTGATCATGTAAACGCATATGTATATAAAGCATCGCGTATAATCCATAAGTTTCGCTATAATACATGTAAATCGATCGCGCTTTGATTCTGTGATGCATAATTTTCGACACGGTGCGATCTTTAAAATTCATTTTTAGAAAATTAAATTCTATTTCGTGTCCAAAAGTATATTAATATAATATAATATTAATATTAATTTATAATATTTTATAATATTAATATTAATATAATATAAATATAATATTAATATTAATATATATAATAATATATATATATTAATATATATATATTAATATATATTATATTATATTAATATTATAAATATAATATTAATATAAGATTAATATAATCTTTTTCCTTGAAATTATTTGACATTATATGGTAAAAGAAAAATGAATTTTGAGTAATAACGACAGAATTATTCTGATTAGTTGCTAATACAAAATATGTAATATAAATATTTTATAAAAAATGTGTGTATATATATTTTTCTTCTTATAAAATACTTATATAAAATATCTATAAATTCTTCTTCCCTTCTCACATATATATGTATCTTAAAAAGATCGAGAGCTCATATTACACATACATGTGTATTTTCATTTTTGAATATGAAAATTCCGAGTACAATATACATATTTATTTTATGACTATTGATAAAAAGAATTTAAAATAATTTTTTTATTAAATCCAATATTTTATATATTACTTATCATATGTTAAGTATTTTTTTATTTATTGCAAGAATATTTCTATTAAATTGCCAGTATTGCACGTTGCAGTTCTAACGCGCATGAAGTAAGAATATCTAGATGACGAAGTATCTTCGAATATTATGATATAAGCGCAATGAGCTGCCTTTTTCACGCATGCGTATCAAAAGAAACATGATATTTAATAAAATGCTTTTATAAAACTTTTTTTAAAAACTATTTACAGAAATTTTTGGAAAATAAATTAAAAGTATATTAATCAAATAATTAATATAATTTAATGTAATTTGTATAAGTGAAATACGCAATTTGAAATATAATACAATTTAAAACTATAGTGCATTACGTTACTGTATTTATACTATTACATTGCGCATGCGCTAAAAAGGAAGCACGCTACAATTGCACGAGTCTAGTTGTATATGTGTATGTGTATGTGTGTTAAAAGCTCGAATTAATACTATTCCGAATTCCGAATGATGTAAATAGTTGTGCTCCAAAAAAGACGGATATTAATATCAAAAAGGAAGAAGAAGAGAAATTTGTTATATTCATTATAATATAAACAAGCGGAGATTATTAAGATATAAAATTTGAGGTTATGTGTAATTATAATCGTGATGTAAAGAGGAAAATATTTCTTGATAAGTGATATTATTATATAAAAAGAAAGATTTGGATATTTTTCATTAACAAATTCACAGAGAAGATATGGATCCTGATTTTGAGGAACTTTCAAATGACACAGATGTAATCGCTAGACTACAACAGTTCAGCGATGCAGCTTTCAAAATCCAGGATGTCGTGGAATCGATTAGCGATCCTTTGTTGTACGAAAAACTGTCCAACGTCAATAAGATTAAATATAACTTACTGTTATCTTATAGTCTCAATAGCTTATTTTGGATGTACTTAAGAGCTAAAGGTGCTAAAAAATTGTGATTTCTAAAGCATAAGGAAAGTATTGAGTTTACATTAATATTAACCATTAAATTTTACAGGAATTGATCCGTCGAAGCATCGAATCAGATCAGAGAATGAAAGGGTAAAGAAAGCAATGATGCGAGCAAAGCAAATCCATGATAGAAATACACTTATGCCACGTATCAACAAGGATGTTGCCATGAGACTTGTGAGAAACAGTTTGTGGGAATCAAAGCAAAAAGAGATTGAGAGCAAAGAGAAAGAAACTGAAAATTCTAAAGATTTATTACCTACATAAATATAAGTTTTTTTTATATCTTTTGCACATTGTATGCATAATGTATATGTACATTATATGTTTATGAAATATAAAGTGTAAGCATTATCATTATATTGTTTTAAAGCACAGTTTGAGAAATTTTGTTATAATTAATATCTTAATCGTGCCACAATATTACAATTCATTTAAATTTAAAATTAATATTTGTCGAACAAATTTGCAAGAGCTAGATTGTTTAAATCAGATTTTAAATTTGCGATATATGTATAATTATTAGCCTTTGTATACTTTATCTTTCTATTGTGAAAAAACTATCCTATATCGAATTATTATGTAATGTAATAACAAAGATTACATCCTATGTTTCTTATTGAAATTCAGAACTCTATCCAATACAAGTACGTAGCCAAATCTATCCAAAAAAAAGCCGAATATCGCATTTCAGTGTATTTCGCTTGCATCTATCTCTCCTTTTGTCAATGTCGATAGCTCTCTATATATTTTATTTGTTTATGGTTCTGAGATGATACAGCATTTTTATAATAAATAGTCTGATAAAAATGACAGCTGATTGGCAGCCGGTCGATCCATAAAAACGAAATATAAAATTATCCGAACGTAATATTTATTCCACTTGTTCAAGGTGACGATATTGCCGATAATTCTTCTCAGAACCATCGAACATTATTCGCGAATATCTAGACACGACGTACCCGATTCGAATCCGGAGGAACCTCGTCACGAGTTTTCCAAATCTATGACACGGACGAAACTGGCGGCAGCCAATAGCGAGTCACAAACTTCAACGTAACGTCGTACGTCACCGGAAGATGGCAGTCAATGACCGAGACACCGGCGAGAGCATCCGTGCAGTCAATGTTGTGAACCCCTAATACGATCCCGTGGCGCGCAGGCGCAACACGACCTTCTGGTTAGATCCATTTTGATCACATGTGAGTATCCCGAGTCGTTCTCGTTTTCGGCTTCGACTAATGGTGCTAATTGTACGTGCGAGCGGCGGAACATTGACAATACGCGGGTGATTGCCGGGCCGGTTTGTATCTACGCAGCCACGAAGCGCCAGGGCCGATCCTTAACCCGGTCGAAGTGATGGTCGGCTCGCGTTGCCAATGTGGCTCGTTCGCCCTCGCTTGCTCGCGAGTCCGCTCGCCGCGATTTCTGTCGATCGCGCGAGACGCGTCGCCGCGCGATCGAATGGCGGCCCCGAGGGCGTCGCGACGCCTGTCATTCGGCCGCCTCGACGCGAGCCGGACTCGCCGCCGAAACTCGCGATCTCGTCGCGCGAGACGTCTTTGGTTAGTCGCGCTCCCGATCCGCCTCTCGGCACCTCGCGAATCTTTCCGCGACGACGCGCCACGTGGTCACGCTGCTCGCCCGGGTGTAACCATACATCGACCGTTCGAATTCCGATGATTCATGCATGGCCTGCTAACAATGCGGATGGGATCGTTCTGGCAGATCTTAGATTACGCGGAAGATATATCTTGGATATTAAGGATGAAAATATTGTCACGTCAAATGTAGCTTCTCCGGTTGTTTTTTTCTTTCCTTCTGCGTAACTAACACATGGATAATACATTCCCGGATATTAATCGACTGATCGGCTGTGGAATCGTATTGCTGAAAGCGGCAAATATAATCGTCAAAATTAATTATCGTTACTGTCATTAGCGAGAATTACCTTAAAAACTGCCACAAGCTTCTTGGCAGCATCGATTTTAGGGGAGGGAGGAGAGAGTGGAAGAATTCTGAATCTTTGAGGAAACTGATACGGAGCTTAATTAAAATTTTTGTTTCATACGCAGATACCTATAAAATAACTATGGCTGACATCGAGGATACTCACTTTGAGACTGGAGACTCAGGAGCCTCAGTGACGTATCCTATGCAGTGCTCAGCACTGCGCAAAAATGGTTTTGTCATGTTAAAGTCACGCCCCTGCAAGATTGTAGAAATGTCAACTTCTAAAACTGGCAAGCATGGTCACGCCAAGGTTCATTTAGTAGGTATCGACATATTTACCTCCAAGAAATATGAGGATATCTGTCCATCTACACACAATATGGATGTACCATTTGTTAAGCGGGAAGATTATCAGGTAAGACAATCTTTTGTACCAAACTAAATATAAAAATGTCTTTTAAATTCAAGTTTATTTTCTTATACTTTTATTCTATATCTAGTCTTGAAACAATTAATTAACAAATTTTTATTGCTTCTTATATCTCACATTTATGTAAACATGCTTTAATATTCTTTTTTTTCTATTTTTTTTTTGTTATTTTAACAATTTTAAATAATTAATTTTAATTATTTGCTGAAAATATTAGATTTAAGTTTCAATCAAATATTCTATTTTAAAATTTAAGTTATATTTGTAAAACAGATAATGTAAAGACATTATGATTGTTTTGTGGCAGCTTACAGATATATCTGACGATGGCTATCTTTGTCTGATGGCTGATAATGGAGAACTGCGCGAAGATCTCAAGATACCTGATGGCGACTTGGGAACACAGCTACGTGCTGATTATGAATCTGGCAAAGAATTACTTGTAAGTATATTTTCGTATAATATATGCATGTTTTATACTTGTTACTAACATTACTTAAAATGTAATTTGGAACATTGTTGAATTGTGTAAAAACTTGTATAGGATTTCATAAAAGATTCATCAAAGAGATGAATAACTTGCTTGAATTTAAAATCTTGCTATTTTCTAACAACTAAGAATACATAACTTGCAAAATATTTGCAAGTTATGTATTCTTAGTTGTTAGAAAATAATTTATTAAATATAATCATAATTTATATAATATTATTGGCAATATCTGTTACGAATAGATATCTCCAAATACATTGTGTTCATGAAGTATCTTATAATGTTAAAAAATAAAATTTGATTTATATATTTCAATTTCTATTATAATAATTATTATGTCAATTAATTACATCTTTATGTTTATCCACAAATATTTGCCTAATTTTTAAAAGTTTTTTAGTCTTAATGTATATGTGATATAGATATATCCAATATATATTTATATTAGATTTAGATTAGTATTTTGATATATATTATGTAAAAAAATGCTGTTAAGAGAAAGTTACCTTTTATTTCACTAAAACTATAGAAAAGTCATATTAAAAGTATATGATTCTTTATTGGATATGTAAATTTATATTGTATTTTCTAGTGCACCGTACTCAAGGCATGTGGTGAAGAGGTAGTAATCGCCGTCAAAAACAACACCTCCCTCGACAAATAATTGTGTTCAGCCCGACAATTACGACGACAAAAAGCCCAATATACATTCGAGCAAAAACCACCCGCTTAGCCAATCAATTGATACCTTTACCATTGGTCAAACAGGATAAACAACAATAACAAATCTATAGGAAGATGATGAAGAGAGTGGAAGAGCGAAAGAGAAAAAGGAGAAAGAAAGCGTGAGCGAGAGAGTGAGAGAGAGAAAGAGAAATATAAGCAAATGAAACGGGCTAGCAATTCCTAACAACAGCAACGCGCTAATGTGAACAGCGACTTTTATCAAAGTAACATCTGCTTACTTAATTATTATTCAACAATATTTAAATGAACAAATCCGGGAAAGCGACAACTGCATATACGTACACTCGGTTCTATACATTTACACACACATACACACAACATACAGATAACACATATAAACAGCATATATGCGTGCGCACATATATACACATACTGACATTTACACATATACTTACACGTCTATACACGCGTTGTTTGTTATTATACAAGAAAGTGGCGACAACTTTTCAGCAGAAGTTGATTGAAAAATAAAAATTGAGAAAGCCTTGACACACATCCTGGACATATATATATATATTTTTTTTTTTTTTAAAGAATAGAGAAAGAAATTATTTACAACAGCTTTGTAACTTATTACACTTATATGTGTGAATGAGAGAGTATATGAGAAAATGAGAGAGAAAGAGAGAGAGAAAAAATTGTTGGAGACCAATACGAAGAGGTCGTGGAAAAAAGACTCTAGAGTCTTTAATGCGCGCGCGCGGAACAATTTTTCATGGGATGCTGGCAATGCCCGACACAAAGCAGCTCACTTCAAGCATCTTTCCTGATGATCGATTCATAATTATAGACAAGACTGGCGCGTTTCGCTATAAAGAATTTATACACATGTGATGCTCTATAAGATTTTTTCTTTTTTTCTTTTTTTTTTTTTTTTCTATGGAAACTCGAGTTCTCGAGATTTTTAGGTCTAATACCATCTAATTGCACAAAATTTAAAAAAAAATTTTGATGCTTGTGCTTATGTAAAAGTCTGTGGAAGGATTTAAAAATCTTATATTTTATTTTCTGAAAGTTAAAAGTTTTTATGGACTCAAACGATGACTATTTAAAACTTTTGATACTTAATGGAAATTTGAGAATTCCGAAATCTAAAAAAAATCACATTCTAATCTTTAATTTCTGAACGAGAAATTTTTTTTGAAACATCGGCATTGAAAATGCTCGATAGTTATGGATTTCGAAATTGGAGATTTAAGATTTGGAAGTTATTAAAGTTTTCTTATATCAAGAAACTTGCTAAAGAAAGACTTTGAAACTTATTATTGAAAGATTGAAAAATGTAGAGATTTTGTGATGGAAAGGATAATTTCGGAACTCTAGAAATATAAGAATTTAATCAACAATAAAAGCTCAAAATTATAATATTTATGGGGATATTGAGATACAATATATATAGACCTTTAAATCCAAGAACGTCGAGAACATGCAAGATAATTTCATATGCTTTGATATGGCAAGAGCGGCGCAATGCGATATCGCGTCATATTCAGAGACTGTAATTGGCTTATGAATGCTCAGACTATTACATTTTGTTGTAATATTTCGTTTTAATAAACATTTTTCAGAACAGGTTACACGAGCCGCTTTCACTCGACAAGATAATTATTTAATCTCTTAATTAGATGATGAACACTAAAACAGATATAATTAGCAAAGAGAAAATTGTGAGTGGAAGATTCTTGTGTGAACTTGCAAATGTGCGTAAAGAATCTTTCCCTTAGATCCTTTCCATCTCGTGTCATCGTTTGTATAAAAAAAAATTGTTCCGATGGTGCAGTCTGAATGATTAGAAATAATTATAAGCAGATAATTAACTACAAGAGTGTATAATCACAGTTATCATTGGAAGGTATACGTTTTTTTCTTCCTACCATAGAAAAATTTTGTGATTTGGAACATGTTCGATTTGGTGTCCTCGCAATATTCGTTTTCTATTTTTTTTTATTTGTAAAATCTCCATTTAATAAAGTAAGATTCTGAATCTGTTTAGATTTCCAATTTTTTTCACGTGAAAACATTCAGATTGCTTATAATACTTGTTGCAAGAATTTTTTTCTGCATCTCTAATCTGTGTTAATATGTTAGGATTATGGTTTCAAATATGTTCCTAGTGAATATTAAATATCCTTCAAACATTTAATAAAGTTCCTTTATTTAATGTTTTTAACAAATGGATACGAAGACCCCAAATCGTCAGATATATATGCATGTAAATTCCGATGTATATCTCTAATAATTATTATTCTCTTATATATCCCTTTTTATTAAAACTATATCGTTTATTATGAAAGGGAACCCGAAGTAACGCGCCTTCCTTGATGACTTTGATATTTTGGCGACGACATTAAAATCGAAAACTTATCTATTATAATCGAAATAAACAAAATATCGAATAATTAATTAATATGAAAAATAAATCAGCGTCTGTAATCTATGTGTGCTATGTTGGACCAGGTTCATAATTCTTTCGATTGTTAACTCTATAACCGAAAGAGAAGGAATCAATTAAAAAAAAAATAGTATAGAAATAGTGGAAATATTCACACAGAAGAACGATGTGTGGTGATGTCTTTTCTTTTTCAGTCCTTTCTTAGACTGACTCGCCCGCACACTGCCATCATTCAAAATTTGCAAAAAAATGTTAAATTACATCTTATTAAGTTAATATATGTAATAATAGAATAATTTATATGGGTAATTGGGAGGGTGATGTAATTCAAAAGTGTAAAAAAGGCACTAACGTCAAAAATGCTTTTCTTTTCCTTGTTTTACGTACTTATAAATTCTATTTGTTATTTTTGTGCCTCCTTATTATGAAAAATAATCTAAGCGCACCCCCATGGATCATAGAATATGCGAAATTCTTGAAATGTATGATTGCGCAGTCGTTTACACAAAATTTCAAGGATTCGTAGTACCAAGAGTCTTTAATATGTCGACATTATCTCGTGCGTACCAAAAATTCAAGGATCGGAATAGAATAGGAATTCTTAACAATTAGCGGTTTAAAGGTGCAAGGATTCGTGGTACTGGCGATCTTTGAGATTCTAATAATTCATCAGTCCAAGAATTTGTAGTATCAAAGATCTGTGGAATTCCAGAATATATATATCATACGCATGCTCTCCCTATTCCTCCTCGCCGTGATATCAAGGATCTGTGACATCGAGGATCTATGGTACTGACAGATTTTTGTACTCATAAAATATTTAATACAAACGAATAAAATTTAATTTGAAAACTTTTATTTGCGTACTATATATGGATTCATTATTATTATAACAAATGCAAAATGCAATCGTTCCTTTTGGATTTTTACGTAAATAAATTGTTTTATGTACTATCCCTCGGAGGATGTGTGAGCTATGTTAAAATTTAATTCTAAATATGTAAACGGGATATTTTCTTCAATATATCCAAATGTTACAAAAATTTTAAGTTTATCGCTCATATTTAAACAATATTAATATAAATAAAGAGAAATTTATAATTTCTATGTGTAGTTTTCAAAGAGGTTCTCATTTGCGAGGACAGATTTCTTTTTTTTTTTTACAATAATTGCGATGCGATATTCCTTTTCCAACTTTACATATATCAGTTCCAGCGTTTAATTACATGCTTTTAAATTTAATCCTAAACAGTATATATATATATATATATATATATATATATATATATATATATATATATATATATATAAGCGAAATATCGATACTTTTTAAACATTACAAAAATGTTATTACCATCTTTCCATATTTATCAAATAACAAATTGAAAGAAATTCTTTCTTTCTCGGGATTCTTGCTAATTACTAAAAAAAATGTTTTTTTGAGGTCTCCTTTTATATAATAAATGTTATACTATAATATTATATAACTCACTCTTTCTTTTGCATTTTACATATTTTATCTAATTTATCATTCTAAAACGCGTTGCACCTTTCCCGCATATTTACAATAAATTCTATTTCATTCCATATTAAACAAATTATTTCATACTGTTTAGGTTTAATCAACGCGTTCGTGATTGATCCATGTGTCTAGGTAACAAAATATAATAAATGTCGTTTGAATAATATAAACTGATCTTGATTTCAGGAATTCTGCAAGCTTGATGAATACTATGTGACTTGAAAAAGTCTAGATCGCAGCATTTAAAATTCCTAAACGTCCAAGAAGATTTTAAGACACGTCACGAAACAGAAGACTGTTGTAAGAAATTTAGCATTTCTAAGAATCTAAAGATTCTATAGATTCCAAAAATATAAAAACGTCTGTGAAAAATCAAAAGATCCAAAGCAAAGTTAAAGGATCCATAAATACCATGAAATTTATTCGCAATCATAATCGAAGCTTTCTTGGTGTTCACAGGATCAATTATTAGCGTTTCGCCTCTGTAACGCTGCTGCGAGATCCTGCCTGAGCGCAGCCTGCTGTCTTTGATCAGCCAAAGATTGTACCGATCGCAGTCCGTTCACAATATCTTTTGTTTTACCAAAGTAGATTTCATTCAGTGTATTGCGGATCTTGTTTTCCATATCTTCCACCATTCTGCCGATATTCGCGATATGAGGTGATGTTTCGCTGATCTGTGCATCTTGTTCTACCTATTGTTATACGTGTCAACTTTTCAATTATTTATTTCGATATAAATCAAATATTAACTAGAGGAATATGAGTAAGCAAAGAATTAAAAAATCAAATAGTTTTATGTACTGCTGTGAAAGTTTACCTGACGTGTCAGACTGCCACCCAGATTCATTGTACCAGAGCCATGCTTGTTGGTCTGCAACCACAGCATGGCTGTCGATGTGAGTTTATAATGAGCAGTACGGCCAGTTGATTTCTCCTGCACTTCCACCACATGTATCGAGTCCCAACATCCTTTAATCTTCTTGGAACCATCGCCAGCCTTCTTGATAAGAATCACTGCTGCAAATCCATGATCCAGATCCCATAAATACACCGAAGAGACTCCACCTTCAAAATAGAGCTCTCGATATTGATCAAAAGCATGATTGGCATCTATTTCCAGTTTCCTCAGTCGTTCAGAAGGCATTGAGCCATCCTCTAACGGTGGATCATAAGTGTTGCTCCAGGGAGATCTGTATAGAAATATATAAAATGCATTTGCATACTACCTTTTCTTTTCTATTACCATGTGATCAGAAGCTTATTTAGATCAAACCTGTATGAATCTCCATCTCTATTATAATCACACAATAGATAGTCTTTGCCAGATTCCTTATCCTTGGCAATTTTCAATGGTTGATCTACCGAAGATAAGAGATCCTCGCATAGTGAAGGAACCAAATCAATTAGGTCACTAAGATTCTTCTCGATTTGTTGCGGTGGCAGTCTTCGCATCAAGTCTAACGCACAATCCATTTGCTGTTCCGTCTAGAATATACAATTAAAGGATATAAGGATGAAAAGTACGATTTATAAATATTTATTACGCCATTAATAGAACGTGTCCCCATTTCTCTTTGAGGATATAATTTTTGCATCCACGACGATAATGTGAGAGGAAGAGATTAACGATGTTGAAAAGGATAAAATTATTGTTAAATAGTGGATAATTGTTAACGTTACTTATTTACAAGTGTGCACGATAAGAAAGGAAGATAAATACGGAGATAAATATTTCTCTCTCTCACTCACCATAGTGCTGCGATTGGTTATAGGCCGACAAACATGAAAATCCTATTACACGATGTTCGTAATGAGATAAACGTATTTTTTATCAGTCACTACCTCGCTGGGATCTTCTCGAAAATAAACGAAACGAGCATTTAAAGGGTGTGTCTAATGCGAGCAGCGATTGGCTCGTCGCGCTCGTCGCTGGCTCTTGCCTCCGAAAAGAGCGAGGTTAACTATCCGCGTCGCAGGCTAGCCAAACTGACGTTCAAGCTCAATCTCTTATGACGTTGTCATAAGGGATTGGTTGTTTATACATATATATGCCTGAGGAATTTTTTGGATAATGCGAGAATTTTTTTTAGCCCCCCCTCCTGCGCTCTTCAACAATAATTATCCATCACGCGTCTTTATGCCTTTACTTTATGGCAGTAAAAAATATTAAAGCACGAGCTGGGTTGCGTTCGAAAATGTCCTCGTCGGGTAAAATAGAGTTCGATCAATCAAGATCGAGAGATTCGTGCTCCTTTTATCCCGATTGGTCGATCAAAATGCTAGTCCACGTTGACGGGCGAATTTTCGAACGTAACCACGAATTTCATGTACATGTCACATATATAGTCGAGGTTAAAAAGTGTGAGGTGTTTGGACACATTGCACGTCGCAATGATGGCGAATCTGTGCGCGAATCTGCGGGAATAATTTTGCAGTGATGATAATGATTGTGCGTTTTATCGCGGTTGATCGTGGGTGACATCAAACTCGCGAGCAAATCCGGCCTCCTCTCGTCTTATGCTGAATGACCCTTGAATTTTCATAAATAAGCGAGAATGGGTGTTGGCCTTAAACCATTAGAGTTTACGGATTGTTTAACCGACAGTCCGTACTTCCGTGAGAATTTGCACTATCACGAACGTGAATTGGAAAAGACCAGTCAACAAATTAAGCGGCTCGTTAAAGAGGTCAAAGATTTATTGTTAGCTGCTAAAAGTAAGTTCTATTACGCGATGCCGTGCTACTTTTTTTTCTTTCTTCATTTCCACTCAAACTGTAAAGAGATATGAATTTTGTAACAGCTGTTACATATATGTATATTTATCCTTTTATTCTTGATTATTAACTCAATACACAATTTTCTTGAACGACAAAGTATTTAGGGATAATATTTTACTTATATGTGTTATATTTTATTCTTTTTCTTCATCAAAGATATATCGTTACATATTGCAATACTTTTCTGAATATGTTATTCTGTTAAATTAATGAATATCTTTTTAGACTTGTCGAGAGCTCAGAGAGCTTTCTCCAAAACACTACAAAACTTTAGTTTTGAATGTATCGGGGAGAGCCAAACTGAGGATGAAACTCATATATCTCAAAGTCTAAAAGAATTTGGTAAACTTATTGCATCCATAGAAGATGAAAGGGATCGCATGGTATGTAATATTCTAAATATTATTTCTAAGTATATTTCCTGATAAAATGCACTTATGAGACTTTTCATATGTTATTTTATACTTCTAACAATGATTTTATTTTTTTAGCTGGAACGAGCATATGATCAGATTATATTGCCTTTGGAGAATTTTAGAAAAGTACATATCGGAGGAGTTAAGGTAAAATGTGTTATTTATTAATATTTTATATTTTATAACAATATTTTACAACATTTGTATGATTCTATTTTTAATACACGCTTTTGCATGTATATTCTATATATCTTATATATATACATATATATGTCTTAGAGATAAATGTTTGATTCTTTATTTATTTATTTTGAGAATGAAAAAAGCTCATTAAGCTAGAAATGTTTTGAATTATGTACTTTTTGTTTGCAATAGAATTTTGCAAGAATTTTTTAGAGATTAATAATACAAAGACCATTGTTGTTTTCTCTTTATAATAGTAATATCGAATATATTCTGATCTGATGAATCAATTTTATTATGTAGCAGTAAAAGTATGCATCAAAGTAAATGAATGAATCTGTATGAGTTGAGATAATATTTATTGAGAGAAGATGACACATACTTATTCTGACATTAAATGGACAGATACTCACATGTATAAGTAAGCTAATGAAAATTATAAGAATGCTCAATTCTACATTGAAAAATATTAAAAAATTTATATTGAAAAATAGTAATTTAAAAAAAAATAAATTTATAAAAATTTTTATGTAATATATTTAGAAATATATGATCTTTTTTCATTCTCAAGAATAAACTCTCATATAATGGAACTGCTTATTTTTGGATTCTGAATTTCCTGTACATATATCTCAAAAATATAATTAATAAAGTATTGTCAATTTTAATTATCCCATTTCTGTCAAGATAATTTTAATTTTTCAGGATGGTAAAAAGAAATTTGAGAAGCAAACGATTAAATTTTGTCAAAGTCAAGAACGTTATTTAAATTTATCCACTAAAAAACAGGACAATGTGCTGCAAGAGGTATATTTAATAATCTATGAAAAATTAGAAATGTATGTTTTTAAATAGTTGATATTGTATTTGCATGTGTAGGCTGATGCAACATTGGAGATGGCTGAAAGACACTTCTCTCAAGCTAGTTTAGAATATGTATTCTTGTTGCAAGAGGTTCAAGAGCGGAAAAAATTTGAATTTGTCGAAACGGTAATAGCGAATAGTTTAATTTTATTAATTAAATAGTATATAATTTTTTTATTATGTGCATCTAAAATGAATATATTATCAATTATTATCATACATTAATGTATCATGAAATGTTCTAGTTATTGGGATTTATGTTTGGATGGCTGACATTCTATCATCAAGGCCATGAAGTAGCGAAAGATTTTAAACCTTATATGACAGAGCTACAACTAAAAATTCAAAAGGTTGGTGATTAATCTCATGATATATTTAGAGCTGCTTAAATACGTGAATAATGTTGAAGAAAATATTTTTTATTTGGCCAGAATATTTATTTCAAGTTAATATATACACTGTTGCAAAGAGATATAATAATAGTAATATAGAATTATTTCTTAACATACTATTGCTGTATTTGTTTGCATTGCAAGAGAATCTTAAGCATCACTAATTTGTAGGTACATGTCTGTGTTCTATAGTGTTTTTAATATCACTGAAATTTTTGTTTTCAGCTTGTGAAGTAGCAAATATTGCACGTCACAAGAAATGAGTTAACAACTAGATTTTGTTAATTAATTGGAAGTTAGTTTTGTTAGAAAATGTTTTTAAAGAGTAAAAATATATAGAGTTCTGCAAATAACATGCGCGTATATGCAATGGCTAATAAAATTAGTTTGACTTATATATAATTTACATTTTATTTTTTACATTGAAATTTATAACAAAGTATACACTATTTATTAATATTCGATAATTCTCTTTCGAAGAAAATATTAATTGAGAACTTTTATAAAAGACTTATAAATTATAGTTAAAATATATAAATGAATTATAGTTATTCGAGAGTAAATTATCGTGTGTGTAATGTAAATATCTAATAGAATTGATAACAGCATGATTGATATATTGCTTACTAATTGCGATTTTTATTTGTGTGTGTGCGTGTGTTTCACAAGACTAGAGAGAATTTCCTTGCTACCCGGGATAAAACTGAATCGCTTATGAATAAAATGAAGGACATGAAGAAGGTATGTTTTATGGAAATTTTTGTATTTTTCATTCTTAATTATTCAATAAAACATAGCTATATACAGAAATATGTCATTTTATTGTAGTTTGTTAAATATTATTTTAATAGATAGAAAGAATGCACAAGAAAAAAATTGAACATATAAAAAATAATTATTTTTATAATAGATTTTTTTAAAATAAATTTTTTTTAAGTGTATATCTCTTTTATTTATTTGTAATTGTCTCTTTTTTTTAGTCCACAGTAGAAAGTGGTCTCAACAAATTGCACTCGCGTGAAGGCTATTTATTCCTAATGGAAAGAAGTAAGTTTATCATAGTAAAAATGCATATTTGATAGATATTATTTGTTCAGTCTTCATAGAAATCCTTCTTTTTAATATTTTTCTTATAATCCTTATTAAATATTAAATGAATAAATTATGAATATTGTTATATTTTACTAACATAAGTAACAATATAATATGATATAATATGATATATGCAGAAGCGTTTGGTACAACATGGACAAAACAATACTGCACATATCAAAAAGACAAGAAAGAGTTTACTATGATCCCTTACAATCAACTCACGGGTAAATTTGTAAGTGAAAATGAAGAATTAATTATATATTAATAAATGTGTTATACGCAATTTTCTTTAGAATAATTTTCAATATTTTCTCGATAGAGCAGCAAAGAAACATTTACGTTAGCATCTTGCATACGTCGTATGTCAGACACTATTGAAAAAAGATTTTGTTTCGATATCACTGCCATTGACAGGTAAGTTAAAAATTCGGTTTTGTATCGCGCACATATTTCGTTTTACAAAATTGCTTTTTAAAGACGCAAGATAATTAAAAAATGTTTTCATCCTTGTTCCAGACCTAATGTAACATATACATTTCAAGCGCTTTCCGAAGAGGATAGAAAATTGTGGATGGATGCCATGGATGGGAAGGAACCTGTGAGTATTTCAATGCATTTCAATAATATTCGAATTATTGTCTCTTTACTATTAATGCTAGAGCTTTCATAGATGAAGAATTCTTAATCGTCTGAATTTTTCCAGACTTTTCCGCGATTAGGTTCTTCCGTAAAATCTGAGGATATGACATTAGATGAAAATGGTTTTGCGTTTGTATCCAAGTGTATCGCGGCCCTCGAAGATAGAGGTAGATATAATTTGTGAATTTTTTTACGCGATCTAATCTAACATCATAATCATTTAATAATCATGAATTCGATAGGACTCGAAGAACAAGGTTTATATAGAGTGGTCGGTGTGGCATCTAAGGTAACCAAGCTCCTGACAATGGGACTCGATAAGAGGAAAGTAGAGAAGCTCAACTTGAACGATCGTTTTGAATGGGAGAGCAAAACTATTACCAGCGCGCTCAAAACTTACCTGAGAACGTTGTCCGAGCCATTAATGACATTTCGATATTACAACAGCTTCATTACAGCTGCGAGTGCGTATAGGTATTCTTGATAACATACTTGTTTTATTTTTATTATTTGCACACAATTTGCTTCTCTCTTTCTCTCTCTTTCTTTCTCTCTGTAGAATCACTTATTTTTTCTTTCCTTGCCAATCTTATATTCGATACTCGTGTACATAAATAAAACCGAGTCAAAGAGCTAAAGTTTCATCTTGATTTTTATTGTATGGTATCTAACAGAGCAGGAGACGAAGGAAACTCGGATAAATGATATACACAACCTCGTCTATCGACTACCTAAGACCAACTTCAATATGCTGATTCTTCTTATCACTCATCTTTGCACGTAAGAGATTATTACTCTTCTATACATTGAATTTAGCTCTCTATTGTATATATATATATGTATGTGTGTATGTGTCTAAGTTTGCTTACTTCCAACTCGAAGATATTGAACTGTTATCCAGAATAATACTTTTCTTCTATATTATATTATACTATACTATATTATTCTATGTTATATTATACATTTGTCACACTTTGCTCAATTTATATCAAATAAAATTTCAGTGTGGCGAAGAAAAGCGATAAAAATCTAATGACTGTGGGAAACTTGGCAGTATGTTTCGGTCCAACTTTGTTACGACCGGAAGAAGAAACAGTGGCTTCTATAATGGATATTAAATTTTACAATATTGTTGTGGAGATATTGATCGAAAATTGTGAAAGAATAATAGCTGGGCCACCTCCAGATTCATCGCGAATAACGGCAGTGCAAGCCGTAGTTCCAAATAAATCGCAATGTGCTAAAATGGAAGAAGGTCCGACTTCTTCGGGTAATGGAACAGCGTTCTTAAGATATCCGTTACACACAGCGGTAGCTGTTACACCCGCCACATCGTCGCACGCGCACGTGAGTTTCAATTATTTAATTTATTCAGGATGTTTAACTGATTGCTTGGAAAAATATAGGAACTTGATTTTCTAGAGATTTTTTGTATACTTGAAAAAATTCGGGAATTCTTAACTTTATTAGAGAACTTAAAGAATTTTTAAAAAAATTCTCTGTGACAATTTTATTCTTGTGTTATAAATAGTCAACAAGCCAAATTATGCATTAAAATATATTATAAATATATATTTATCTTTATATATTAAAGTTTTAACAAAATGTGGAATATGCAGTACGCTTTTTATTATAATTTTTAATAGTAAAAAAATGAAAATGTTATGAAAAACATTTATCTTATGAAAGTTATTCAATTTTTTTTCAATACATTTATAAATTTAACACTTGAAACTTAAGTGGTTTTATGTTTTTACTTTGCATGAGTGAAAAGCAATTAGAGAAAATACATACAATGAAAAAATTTATCTTAAAAAGTTGTATTAGAAAATCTTTAATATATATTTATATATATTTTTTATCTAGAATTTTTAACAAAAATATCTGAGAATTGATCAGAGAATTTTTTTTACAAAATTTGAGTAGACAACTTATTATTGTTTTCCATATATATTTAATTCTATACATACGCATGTGTACATAGCTTGTTACAAGATCCTACTATGATGGCCAGCCTTTAACCGTTGTTAATAAACCACCGCCCACCGTCGATGAACGAAATAACGGGGATTACGAAGATCTCGACAATACGAGTCATCGTATACCATCGTATCTGGATAGTCGTGGCGGTCGAATAAAATTGACTAACGCAAATCTCATGTATCATTCGGCCGACAAAGGTTTATATCCTTCTTTTTTTTTTATTGTTGTTATTTCGTAACGATATATAGTCTATCATTTTTCTAAATAAAATTTCTGGGCTCCAGTTCTGAGCGGTGGCAATACGAGTAGTTCGAGTGAATCAATCGCGTCGGACCCACATCCATTCACAGGCGAGTTACCGGTAAAACAAAAACGTGGCACTATGATATCCGTACATGGATATCCTACGGCTTACCCTCAGCGCAGTAACTCATCGATATGTCCGTAAGAATCTCTACTTTTTCATTATTAACAGGAAAAATTGTATTTCATCGTATATTTTATCTCTAAGTATTATTATTATTATCTTTTATTGATTTTATTGCATGTTTTTTTATAGCATTAATACTTCACCGAATAGTGGACGTTCGAGTCCCGGTCAAATGCCAGGAATTTGGTAAATATATATACACATTAATAAAATTATTTTAACTTTAACGTTGTATGTGTGGTATGAATTCTCAGGAGAGTACGAACTTTGTACGCGTGTATGGCGGAAAACGACGGCGAGTTATCATTTGAACCAAATCAAATTATCACAAATGGTAAGCTTGATATAGGAAATGTTAATCTTTATACAAAAAGTGACAAAATAATTATAACAAAATACATATATATGATTACAGTCAAGGCCTCTTTGGAGCCAGGTTGGCTAGAAGGTACGTTAAACGGCAAAACGGGCTTGGTGCCTAAAAATTATGTAGAACAACTACCTTAAATATTACGAAAAAAACCAAAGTGTTGAAGATTCTTGTTAAAGATTCTCCATCATAAACATTGTTTTAAATATTACTTTTGGTATTGCTGAAGGGAGCAAACCAAAGCTTGTGAAAGTTATGCAACACGATGTTTAAAAACACTCGAGTTGTGCTAATTTTCTTTGGATACACACACTGCTTAGTCAATTATATATACATATACTCGCGCGCGTATAGTTATTTATTAGAAAAACCATTTTGCTCTATGTATCTAAATTGTATATATAATCACTTATTATGAGTGATATATATATGTGCATAAGGACCATATATATAGAAATATAATATATCTGATGTATTTCAATATACATTTATATATTGAAAGAGTCTCATGTATATGGAAATTCCATGGAGCTTGTAGGAAATTTTAAAGGCAATAACTATTTGTTTATACTATTGTATTATAATAAAAATATACATATATGTATAATGTAATGTAATTGAATATCAAGTATAGAAAATCTCTTTTACAAACCTATTCGATACAGAATATAGAATATATTAGATATAGAATAAATGCTTATTTTTGGTGTTGTATGTTATATCTGTATTAGAAACGCAAAGCATACGATTTGTACATAACAATAATGTATAAAGAAATGCTGGATTCAAAAACTGAATTAAACAGTTTTAATTTTGCAATGGAAGCATAAATGCATAAACATTAATAGATATATTTTACCCATATCATCGATTGATGTGATATGCATTGTTCATGTAATTGGTCAATCAGTAATACTGCAATATAAATGTCTAGATATAAATCTAAAAAATAATTACTATTATAATCCGTCAATAAAAAGTAACTTCAGAGAGACGATAATCAGCGATGCAATTTTAACGTTTAAATCTATTGTGAATCTGAGTTTTATTCATTTAACAAAATCGTTAAATGATACAAGTGCAAACTTAAAATAAATTTTTCTGGAAGTTTGAAAATTAAAATCTATATATCTTAGGATCTACGTCGCGTGTTAAGAGAACATATAAAAAACTTTCTTATATTAATTTAATTTTTTTGTTTGAGCACGATCAATTTTGAATTCTTTGTATACCACAAATATTTCTTCAAAAGTAATACTGTATAAATTTAACGTTCAATGCTTCAATGTAAGTCATTCGTCAATCGTTTTATGTAAACTTCCATAGCTGAACATCCCGCTTTTAAAGCATTTTTTTCCACACTATTCCATAATGAACTCATAAATAGAGTATAACATAATATTCCAGTTAAAAATATACGTAATATGTTTACACCAATATCGATACTTAAGGATGTGTTTATACAGTCTAACCCAATAGACCAAATTAATGGAACAACAAGTATACAAGCTGATAGCAGATACCAAAATCGTTGGCGTTGTACACTTTTCAATGCAGTTTCGCAAATTTCAATTGCTTCTTTTAAAGAATCTGTTACATCCAAATTGTCACTGATGTCATGTTCACCTGTGACAACATATATGGAGCAAGTTATCTATCCAATATCTCGAGATTAAGAAAGATAATAGATGAAATCTCTTTTAATTGTTAAACTTACCATTAGTGAATTTAAGAGTAGCCATAACAGCTTCATGGTCTGAATAACTGAAATCTTTATACGGCACACGATTTGGCAAAGGATGTTGGAAATTTGTTATTTCAACCTATAAAAATTATCGCGATACATAAAATATCATACGTCATTAATGCATTCATAAGATGCACGTTAGATTACCTACTTTAACGCTTTTCGAACCTAAGTATAAAATATGATCTATACGCTTTCCATCTGGTCTCGTTCGAGCGAACTTTGAGCATGTATAACTGTTATTGGCACATTCGTTGGTCCCTATGTGACTCGCACTACTCGGACACGCATCCATTAAACCGCCAACGCCGCGTATAATCCTATATGCTAAATCTTGTGGCTCAGTATTGAGATCACCAGCTAATATTACAGCATCCGCGCCACCGCTGGTCATTCTTACAAATTGTGCAGTATCAAATGCCTGCAGAACTCTATGAGCCATGTATTCATCATTCTCTCGGTTATATTCCGCATGCAACTGCAAGGAACAAATAAATGTTAATATTTTTTATTTTATTTTTTTAAGTTGCAACACAAATTCTGTTTTGTCATATATTATATTGTTACAAAAATGAATTTGTGCATAATTAAATGTTACAAAAATAATAATGAAAAAGTGTGTTAGATAAACCTACATGTGCAGTGTAAACATTAATATTCATATTGAGAATCTTAATTTTACATAGCCCAACACCTTTACCGCCAAACCAATCCCCATGATGTATTTTGTGAACGTAACCATTTAAGGGCCATTTGTGGAACATGACATCGTAAATAGGATACCGTGATAAGATACATACTCCTGATCCAACAACACCGCTGCCCAGAAAGAAAAGAAATGTATGATCTCATGATGAATAATTGAGATTATTTAAATGTTTAATATACAATACCTATAAAAATAATGCGAATAAGGAAGAATTTCTTGCACTTTTGCCTTTATCACTTTAAAATCCTCGACAGACCAAACCTCTTGCAAACAAATTATATCGTACTCTCTACTGGCACACTTCTCCGCAATAGCAGACATACGTGTGATTCTATTCTTCGAAACATATGGTATGCCCCTGTGAAGTAAGAAGAGGAGAACAAGAATAATTAGAAGTCATTACAGTTAGAGATATGTACTTTGCACAAAATACAAATCTGAATATTTTTCTTGCTTACCAACAGTTTAGTGTCAGAATACTCGCCGATACCTCGTTTGCCATCGCTATTTTAAGAACGTATCCCTATTATTTATTATGAGAGAATATAACATACGATGATGAATATACTTAATTCTAAAAATAGCACATTACAACTTCCTCCGACAGTTTCATGCCTTTATTCAGATTAATATATAAATATAATTATCAAATAAAAAAGCGATTTATCTCATCCTTTCTTTTTATTCGTGTGTTTGACTTTGACAAGTCCTTGCCGCATGTATATACATACATACATACATATATATGTATATGTATATATATATATATATATATATATATATATATATATTATATATATATATATATATATATATATACACACACATATATATATTATATATAGATGTGTATGTATATATATATATATATATATATATATATGTGTGTGTATGATGTATGCACATACCTTCTATTTCTTTCTTCTTTTTTTTTTTTAAGGAGCAGGAAAATTCCCACTCATGCTGCTATGGTAGTCCCATGGTAGCTCTATAATAGATAATTTAAATCCTTAAGAAATTGACCAATCATAACCGAGTATTCTTTTCATACTTGACTGTGATTGATCAATCTCTTAAGGTTTAAATTACTTATTGTAGACCCGGCCTTAAAGGCCTTTGCACGCACAAAAATTTTAGTCGTAACCGTAAGATCGTAAGAAAACTGACAAATCATGGTCGAGTATTCTTTCTGCGATAAAAGAATAATCAACTGTGATTGGTCAGTTTTCTTATGACCTTACGGTTACGACTAAAATTTTTGTACGTGCAAAGGCCTTAAGGCCCATTCTACAATGAGTCGTAAGTCGTAGGCAAATTGTCTAATGAATGGTCCATGGTTGATTATTTCAAAAATAATTATTTTTGAAATAATCAACCATGATTGGTCAATTTGTCTACGACTTACGACTTACGACTCATTGTAGAACGGGCCTAAGTGAATTTCAATCAAATGAGTCATGATTGGTAATCGAATAGGGAAATTTACGATTTCTTTAAAAACACTAGAGGTACCATTCGTTCCACCCAATCAACGCGGGCGTGTCCCGGATATGCGATCATCGAGTACAATCGAATAGATCGAATCGATTGCCCTTCGATTCTCTCCTCAATCAGATGTGATCAGACAGTTCCTGTGACATAATTCTGTGTGTATGTATGGCGTGTTATGTTACTGATTTTTGACATTCAATCAACAACGGAAGAAGGCGGACTTCGAGAAATTCGTTATCAGGCTAGACTTTATAGACGCGATAGCGGACTAAACGAAATATACTCGTCATTCCCAAATGTTTCTTAACGATCTGATACTTGGAGCTTCCTTTCCCACGATCCACGATTCATCTCGTTCGTGATTCCGAACATTAGATTCAACAATCATCTCAGGGATGGTCATGATGATTATGCGAGTATCACACACGTAAAAGTACATCCGGCTGTTGGACATATTTAAATTTCCTCCTGGGATTTATTGCATCTTTCATTCGAGATAATTTTACAACGAGCACATCATCGACGAGATGACCACCGATAAAGTCACTCTGGGTGACGCTCTATCGAACGTCGATGTACTGGATGAATTTACATTACCAGACGAACAACCTTGTATAGAAGCTCAACCATGTTCCGTAGTGTATCAAGCGAATTTTGATACCAATTTTGAAGACAGAAATGGCTTCGTAACAGGCATCGCCAAGTATATTGAGGAAGCAACTGTACACGCGAGTCTGGTAAGCTTACAAAATTATATCTTTCAAAATTATATTTGTCGATAATTAGCAAGATATTTTTATTTGAAAAAATCTTTTTAGAATGAATTATTGGAAGAAGGTTTAGAACATGCTGTTATGCTATATACATGGAGATGTTGTTCACGTGCAATTCCACAACCAAAATCTAATGAACAGCCAAACAGGGTGGAAATTTATGAAAAGACTGTGGAAGTATTGGCACCTGAAGTCAATAAATTATTAAATTTTATGTATTTTCAAGTAAGTGCAAGTTATAACTTATTTTGCTATAGCTATCTTTAGATTGACTGTCTCTCCTTATTGCATACACATTTATATATATATTTATGTTTCAGAGAAAAGCGATCGAGCGATTTTCAGGGGAAGTTAAACGATTGTGTCATCATGAGAAAAGAAAAGATTTTGTATCAGAAGCATATCTTTTAACTTTGGGAAAATTCATCAATATGTTTGCTGTATTAGATGAATTAAAGAACATGAAATCTAGTGTGAAGAATGATTATTCCACATATAGAAGGTAATTTTTTGAAAATTTTATTACACTTCTCTTTATGTTTATTCTTAAATATATGTTACTCCATTTTTTTTTAGAGCTGCACAGTTTTTGAAAGTAATGTCAGACTCTCAGACATTGCAAGAATCACAAAATTTGTCAATGTTTTTGGCAACACAGAATAAAATTCGTGATACAGTTAAAGAAAATCTAGAAAAGATTGCAGGATATGAAGAATTACTTGCAGATGTTGTCAACATCTGTGTTCATATGTTTGAAACTAAGATGTATCTTACACCTAATGAGAAGCACATGTTAGTGAAAGTGATGGGCTTTGGTTTATTCTTAATGGACAGCGAATTATGTAATATCAATAAACTTGATCAGAAAAAAAAATTAAAGTTAGATAGAATTGATAGAATCTTTAAAAATTTAGAGGTAGTTCCGTTATTTGGTGATATGCAAATTGCACCATTTAATTATATCAAACGTTCGAAACATTTCGATGCGTCAAAATGGCCGTTATCATCTTCGTCGAATAGTATAAGTCCACAAGCCGATCTTATGGTACATCTTCCTCAGATCAGAGAGGATCATGTGAAATATATCAGTGAATTGGCAAGGTATTTTCCAATGTAATCTTATTCATTCAATTTCATATAACATCTGCTACTATTAATAATTATACTATTAGTTATGTTATAAAAATGTGATACATTCAACAATTATTGTATATAGGTATAGTAATGAGGTTACTACAACATATAAGGAATGCCGAAGTGATATAGAAAATCGGGATACTGCAGAGCTGGCATTACGTGGACTACAGTTACTTTCACAATGGACTAGCGTTGTAACAGAATTGTATAGTTGGAAATTGTTGCATCCCACTGATCATCACATGAACAAAGAGTGTCCACAAGAGGCTGAAGAATATGAAAGAGTAAGGATATTATAAAATTTATTAATTTATTATCATACAATTATTTTTATGCTAATATTCCTTTTTTACATAGGCTACACGTTATAACTATACAGATGAAGAGAAATTTGCTCTTATAGAAGTTATAGCAATGATTAAAGGATTGCAGGTATTAATGGCACGTATGGAAACTGTTTTTATCGATGCAATACGTAGAAATATATATGCTGAATTGCAAGATTTTGTACAACTTGCATTACGTGAACCCTTAAGGAAAGCAATCAAAAATAAAAAAGATTTAATCAGAAGGTTAGCATTAATTATATATTATATACTTCATAAATGTCACATTTTCTTTTTCATTTTCTGTAAGAACGATATTTACAAATATATTTAAAAATTTAAATAATTTTAAAATTATCAGAATGTTTCTCTTATCTTATTTCTTTTATCTTGATTTTGTTTTAGTATAATCGTTTCCGTTAGAGAAACTTGTGCCGATTGGCATTTTGGAGTGGAACCACTCGGAGATCCTGCATTAAAAGGCAAGAAGGATCCAGATAATGGGTTCGGTATTAAAGTCCCGCGAAGAAACGTTGGTCAGTTTGCCAATAAAAAATATTGCACATTACTTTATTTTTAATTTTGAAATTATATTTTGAGAATTGATTATGAAAAACAAAATATATAGGTCCGTCTTCCACACAACTTTATATGGTACGGACCATGTTGGAATCGTTAATCGCAGATAAAAGCGGTGGAAAACGCACTTTGAGGAAAGATATCGATGGCCAATATCTAGTTCAAATCGATCAATTTCACAAAACTAGTTTCTATTGGAGTTATTTATTAAATTTCAGTGGTAAATATAAATATAGATTCTTTTTAAATTTACAGTCATTTTCTGGTTTCTTTCAACAAATTTTTCGTCTTTTTATTGGTCACAGAGTCTCTACAGAATTGTTGCGACTTATCACAACTATGGTATAGAGAATTTTATTTAGAAATGACAATGGGTAGGAAGATACAGGTAAATAATGTTGATTTATTTTAAGTCGACTATATCAAGTAGCGCCGCATATAATTGGCCGATCAAATAAATCAAGTCATAATTGTATAATCATGTGGATCCTATTTATTATTTTATTTATTTGATTCGAATATATAAGAACTGTGCATTATATTTAACGATTAATAGACATTAGAGTTTGCAATTTTTTTTATACATTTGCTAATTTTATGTGAAAATAGCATATTCTGTAATTGATTTATATGATTAGAAATGCCAAGTACGTCACCAGCATAATGAAGAATGCAGCGATCTGATCACCATGGAGAAACGCATTCAGGTACTTCTTCGTTTGCTGCCCGTGTAGGATAGATAACTGATGCCGCACGAAATACATGTCGAAATTTTAAAATTTATCCATGTTTCTCTCAGACAGATGTGCCATGTAGTGATACAATCCGAATATATTTTATGCTCAAACATTTAATTGATAAATATATGTTTCAGTTTCCCATTGAAATGTCCATGCCGTGGATATTAACCGATCATATATTAAGAAGTAAGGAACCATCGATGATGGAGTAAGTTTATTATATGAGTATATAAAATGGCTAGATATCAATGCTGTAATAACGGATCTTATTAATTAAATTGAATCATTTTGTATGATACATTATTATTATCGTTAATTTTACAGGTACGTTTTATATCCTCTGGATTTGTATAACGATAGCGCGCTATACGCGCTGACCATATTCCGTAAGCAATTTCTGTACGATGAGGTAGAAGCTGAAGTGAATTTGTGCTTCGATCAATTTGTTTACAAACTTAGCGAACAAATTTTCGCGCATTACAAGCAGCTGGCGGCCAGTATCCTGTTGGACAAACGATTCAGGGTAGAGTGTGTAGCTCTCGGGGCATATCTACTCCCGTATCCACGTGCTAATAGATACGAGACGTTGTTAAAACAGCGACACGTTCAGCTACTTGGAAGAAGCATCGATCTGAATAAACTTATAACACAGCGTATTAACGCGGATATGCAAAAATCGTTGGATCTGGCTATTAGCAAGTTCGAATCCGGTGATATAACTGGAGTTGTGGTAAGTTTCTTTTCATAATAATTTTTTCTCACTACAAAAATAATATTTTTCGTAACTACTCGCTTATTCGACAGGAATTAGACGGACTGTTACAAGTGAATCGTCTTACTCATAAACTTTTATGTAAATGGCTTGCGCTAGATGAATATGATGCTATGTTTAGGGAAGCGAATCACAATGTCCTAGCTCCATATGGACGAATCACTCTTCATGTATTCTGGGAATTGAATTATGATTTTTTGCCAAATTATTGTTATAATGCTGCCACAAATAGGTACATTTATACGTGTTTAGAACGTTTAACATTTATCATTCAATATTATTAACATATATTATTTGATGCATTTGTACAGATTTGTTAAGTGCCGCGGTCTACAATTTGTACAACCAGTTCATAGAGATAAACCTCCGCAAATGTCTCATCACTATCTCTGGGGTAGTAAACAATTAAATCTGGCTTATAGCACTCAATATGGGCAATATACAGGATTCGTCGGTCCGCATCACTTTCGTACCATATGCAAGCTCCTCGGTTATCAAGGAATAGCTGTGGTTATGGAAGAACTTTTGAAGATTGTCAAAACTCTGATCCAAGGAAGTTTGCATCAATTTACCAAGACCTTAATGGAAGCTATGCCAAAAGTCTGCAAACTTCCACGATACGATTACGGATCCCCCGGTGTTCTAGGCTACTATCACGCTCAATTAAATGATATTGTCCAATATCCGGATGCTAAGACTGAATTGTTTCATAATTTTCGCGAATTTGGCAACACGATCCTATTTTGTCTTCTGATGGAACAATCTCTGTCGCAAGAAGAAGTATGCGATCTGTTACACGCGGCGCCGTTTCAAAATATCCTACCGAGACCTTATTGTAAAGGTAAAATTGACTTGTAAATATTATAAAATATTAACTTGTAAATATTATAAGTTAGTTTAAATAGATATAAAAAAGCCATATTTATACGGGAAATTAAATATTTAAAAATTTTTTCAGAGGGAGAAAAACCTGAGACCAAACAGAAACGATTGGAAGCAAAATATGCGGCTTTACAAATTGTTCCTAATGTGGATAAATTAGGTACCGCTAAGGTAAGGGACATACGCGTGATATATCTTTCAAATCCAAGTTATATTTAACTCAACAATGCCATCTATACACGATGATTTTATTTTATAGCAAGCAATGATTGCCAGAGAAGGAGATTTATTGACACGCGAGCGATTATGCTGTGGTTTATCAATATTCGAAGTTGTACTTAGCAGATTACGGAGTTTTTTAGATGATCCTATTTGGGTCGGACCACCGCCAGCGAATGGTGTAATGAATGTAGACGAATGTACCGAATTTCATAGACTTTGGAGTGCACTTCAATTTGTATATTGCATTCCCGTTGGTGAAACAGAATTTACTGTTGAGTTAGTAATAAATACACTTCATATGATACATATATATTTCTCAATGTAGTGCATAAATAATTATAACTATTGTTTTCCAATTGTAGAGAATTGTTCGGTGAAGGTTTACATTGGGCTGGATGTGCCATGATCGTCCTTCTAGGTCAACAACGTAGGTTTGAGGCGCTCGATTTTTGCTATCACATTCTTAGAGTGCAACGTGTAGATGGCAAAGACGAGAATGTTAAAGGAATAGTAAGTATACATACACACATACATATAAACATTAATTATCTTTGTTACATTAACTTGTATAATTTATCTTTAAAGCATCTGAAAAGAATGGTAGATCGGATAAGACGATTTCAAGTTCTAAATTCACAAATATTCGCCGTGTTGAATAAATATTTGAAAAGCGGAGATAGCGACGCGGCAAGCGTGGAACATGTTCGCTGTTTCCAACCCCCGATACACCCCTCATTGGCACATGCGCAACAGCATTACCATGCACCGGAATATTTACGTCAAATAAATCACCAATAAGCGATAATTATAAGAAGACTGTATTTTGCGTCATAACTACGAGCTCGAACAAAAAGACTTAAAGAAAAAAAAGCATTCCTTTTTAAGGACATTTATAAAAAAAAAAACTATTCATATTTTATATCGTCAATGTCGAAATAATTTGTACTATTTAATTCAACTGCTACGAATGTTAGAACATACATTTTTTAAAATAGACGAAATTTAGAAAAGATTGTAAACGACAAAGTTGCTCAACTTTGTTTATAAGCAATTTTTCTCAATCCATCTCTCTTGATAATATACAATGTATGTTTAAATAGATAGATTTATATAATTGCACTGCTTTACTTTAATCATTTATATATAATAAAACTAATAGTAATACATAACTATATAAGTATATTGATCCATCAATGTAGTGGAATATATATGAACTTATTTTGTGAGATATTCAAGTCTAATCAAAACAAAGTATTATACATAAATATTATTCATATCACGTACGTAATTTATGCAATATTTCTTGTGTATTGGTAATTATGTATAAAAAATGCACATGTTTCATAATATTACTCATTTTTGTTTATTTCTAAATGATGTTAAATGTGAAACATATTTAAAAGATGTATTAAAACGTGATTTATACTTTTAGAATATGCACGCGAATTATCATATAATATTATTGACAACTAAATGATACAAATTATGTTATATTATTATATAAAACTGTTAAAATTATAATTCGGCAAAGAAATCAGATCGATTATTAATTTCACTACTTGGAAGATTATGTTTGAGCCATTTTTGTTTTCCACCTTTCACCGGTTCGGTAATGTTCAAAGTCTCGAAATATTGTACATTCCAGAATTTGATGTCATTATTGTGAGACGAAGATGCTATTAAAATTCCATCATTACTGATATCGAGTGCCTCGATAGAAAAATCGTGTTGGCCCACTATACCGAGTTGACGATGAGGAAACAAACTAGTTGCTCTGTTTATTATACAAAGATATTAGATGTCATACATATATGAAATAAGTCATAAAAAGATTCTCTCTTACCTAACTATCCCGTTTTCTCCTCCAGTTATTACAACATTCTCCGTAACGGGAATCATGCAATTTATAGCCGTCTTTGTAACATTTGGAAATTCATCCGAATGTAGTCCAAATTCACCCCAATTGTATACATACATTTTTCCTTTACTAGTAGCAGATAATAATTTACGTTCGGATTTAAATAAACCAAGACATGTTAGTTCCTCATCATATTCCTCGGTCTGCATGTAATATTATAATATGATATTAGATTGATTTAACAAGATTATCGGATGACGTTATTTATATATTCATATACTATGTACCTGTATGTGCATTTTTCTCTCTGGTATATTTATAGTCGTTAGACAACCATCACCACTGGCACAAACCAAATATTTAGCATCTCTGTTGGTTATCATGGCACTAATGTAATCTTCTGCCGCCTTTATCGAAAATATCGGATCATTTCCCTTTTGTCTGAGATCCCATACTAAAAAAATTTTTTATAAGACTCATTTTAATTAGAGATTTAGAAGTATTACAAGTTGTCATTACATTTTACTACACCATCATCGTCGCCCGTTACAAACACGTGTTCACTGATTACTGTCATTGTATATATAGGTTGCCTAAAATATGGTAAATAGTACATTCATAATGTTACCAATATATTAATAAAAGCTGTATATCAATATGTTATACATACTCATGAGCTTTCTCATATAATCTAGTTAACTTTTCGGTTTCCATATCAGTTATTGCTATACATAAATCTTTTCCAGCTGAAAATAATATTTGTCCATCTTCACTGAACTCAATATCTCGGCAAGCTTTAAGATGCAATTCTATGGTTGATACAAGAGTAGTCTCTTCATTGTTATACTTATACCTAGTGTGAAAAAAATGTAAAGTTTCATCAGAAGTAAAATACTACATATACTTTTTTCATTAAACTTACATAAAAATATCACCCGTAATACTAGCTACACCTATAGTATCTGCAGTGGGATGGAAACATATGTCTGTTACCATATCTTCTAATATAATTGATGGTGGATGATTCCTGTGCAATTGCTTTGCAGCTATTATAGCTTCATCTAAGTTTCCATGAGATGATCCATCTTAAAGATTTAAACATATTTTTTGTCAAGATGTAAAATTTTGTTTTGTTTTTTAACTTATCTTCAATTACAAAAATCTACAATAAAAATTGAAAAAAATACCTGCTGAAACAGATGTTCCAGCTTGTAATTCTTCAACAGAAACTTCTTCGTCATCGCTATCTGATGTTGATACAGATTCATTTGCTGAATCTTCATCGCTGCTTGTATCTTCAATTTGATTTACAGACATATCATCAGATATTAAGCTATCTGTAAATCAAATTACATTTGTAATTTCGTTTGCAAATAATTCAATTACAAGATTATAATTACAAATTAATATATTAATTACAAGATAATTAATAACAAGAAAGATATAGGTAAAATATAGATTTAATAAAAGAAGAGAAAAGAAGTATATTACGAACCTACTAATTTTTTCATTTTCCAATGCATTTTAACAAAAAAGATACAATTGTTGAAGAGATTGTGAAGAAACGATTTGTTTGTTTTAAAAAGAAATTTGCTTCCTTTTTACATATAATTTCGGATTATACAGCAAATAATACAATTGCTTGATACAATTGAAATTGAGGTTATATCCGATATTCAATGAGAAAATTAATTATGAAGGCCCGGTTGCACCAACGTTATTTTAGCTTTAAGCGAGACTTACATATATGTCTATCTTTATCTTTCTTTCTAAATAAATAAAGACAGACATATATTTAAGTTTCGCTTAAAACTAAAATAATGTTGGTGCAACTAGGCCTAAATCTCCAATCACGATATTGACCAAAGAGGATTCCAGCCAATCAGTATCGAATGATATTCTCGGTTCACAAAACTATATACTACATAACTATTATTTATTTCTATACATAACTATTATATATTATATATAGTTGTTAAAATGGCTGCCATGGCGCTATGTCGGTTACGTTGTTTGAGAGAAACTTTCTACCGCAAATAATAACGTAAATCATTCTTGGGAAGCGATAGAGGCTGCATCATCAAATTTCATCATCATGGAGAGCCGAAGTAACGAGTCAATAGCGGGAATGTCAGCATTAACCTCGTTACCTGTGATCGTGAAAGAGGAGCCTATAGAGCAAAACGGCACCTCGAAGCAAGACTCACAACAACAATCTCAAACACAGGACACAATTTGTATTGACGAGGAGTGCGGAGATCAACGTATCGAGTGCACTACCGAGAGCCAAGAAAGTGAGATCCGCGCCTTCTTGTCCAAATGTGTCTTCTGTAGTAAAGTATTCGTCCTAGGAGATGATCCAAAGCTTCTGGAGTGCTTACACGCGGCTTGTACAGCATGTATCACTAATAAGCTCAGTGATCACAATACATCAGTGGATGTGGATGTGCTGTGTATGTAATATACACATGTAATTGTAATTATAATTTGACAAAATTTATTATTTGTCAACTTTGAATTGTCAAATTGTTTTAAGTGGAGCGGATTCTTATTTCGATCACTTTGTAGTATTATTTTATTTTAAGTTTCTTCTGTGCTTTTTTCTAACAACTCATTGTGTTTTACAGTGGAAAGCAATTTGATTATGTGTCATATTTGTAATGTAACTACCAAAGTGGAAAATTTAATTGAAAACAGATTTCTCTTAAAGTTCTTGGAGGAAGATAGTAATTTGGGATTAGATGACGACTCTAAAGAAATTGAAGAGGAAAAAAAATGCACCAGCTGTCATGATAATGCTACTGCTACCAGCTGGTGTGTCGAGTGTGAAGAATTTATTTGCCAGAATTGTGTTATGGTAATTATAATCTATACATTAAATTATTAAATGCTATATAAATAAATAAATATATATATATATATATATATATATATATATATATTTAGATCAAAAAATAGATTCTTGAATGAATATTTGAGTGAAACTTATATCAGACAAAATTATTAAGGCACATCAAAGATTGAAGATTACTAAGGATCATACAATTAAACCCAAGGATGAAATGACAAGTGACAATAGGGATAACGTCAAAAGAAGCAATAAGAAGATATCTGGATACTTATTTTGCACAATCCATTGTCATGAACAATTATCTTTATTTTGTCAGACATGTGATAAATTAACCTGTAGAGATTGTCAACTCAGTGAACATCGTGACCATAAATATAAATTTATTCATGAAATTGCTGCTGAAACTCGTTCCTCCATGTCTACTTTGCTCAAAGAAGTAAGGTAGGATCTATAAATATATAATAATTAGCAAAATTTTAGAGAGTTGCAGATTTGCAAAAAAATATATTTTTCAGTTACAAACGAGTATTATTAAGAAGCGCGATGAAAGTTATAGAGGATAGGCAAGTTCTAATATTGGAGAAGAAAAAGAATCTTGTTCAAGATATAACACAAATGGTAGTACAGTAAGTATGCTGTATATATGTATATTTGTATTTTTTTTTTAAGTACATTCTTTAAATACATTCTTTTCTAGTCTATTTTCTTTCTCTTTTATTTCAGATTAACGAATGCAATTAACACAAGGGGAAAACAGTTGGTAATGAGATTAAATGAAGTGTGCGATCAAAAGCAGAATACATTAAATGAGAAAAAAGTTGCTTTAGATCAGTTATCCAAACTTACGGATCATTGTATACTCTTTGGCACTCATGCTTTGAATAAAGGCTCAGATATGGAATTATTATACAGTAAAAAGTATACTTTAATTATAGATATATACATATATACATATATAATGTATGTAACACATAATAATATTATTATAGATCCGTTACAAATCATTTACTAAGAATAAAAAGCAAACGAGCCGATATTCCAAATCCTGAGATACCAGTCAGAATACATTTGTCTCTGGAAAAAGTGCCAGAATTAATAAAAGGTTTGTGAGGACACACAACTACATAATTCTTATAGTAATTTTCAACTATTAATTTTGTATTTGAATTAAATCAACGATTAATTTTATTCTTTAATATTATATATAAGATATACAGGGTAAAATCCGGAAAATCGCCCGCAATATTTCGGAAAGTGATTCGAAACCCAAGAAAAAAGGAAATATAGTTTCCAGAAAGAAGAAAAGACTATATAACAATCTTTTATGTTAAAAAAATCGTAATTTATAGTCGGCTTAGATCCTCTTTTAAAATTTAAATTTAAACTTAAATTTAAATTTTTAAATTTAAATTTCAAATTTAAATTTAAACTTAAATTTAAATTTTTAAATTTAAATTTTAAATTTAAATTTTAAATTTAAATTTTAAATTTAAATTTAAATTTAAAATCGGGTCCCAATCACTTCCCAAAGTACTACGGTCGATTTCCCGGACCACCCTGTACAGTCTGACACAATTTTACATTTTTGCATTGCAGTGGTATCATCGATTGGGGCGATAGTCGTCGATGGCAGAGTATATCCGTCCGCATCTCCTGGGAATAACACAACAGCATACAATGAACCGCAAGTTGAGCCAAAGCAAATGACAAGCTCGACGAGCGCTCACGCGGACGGTATTATTCCGATTAATCAACAAGGATTGTCGTTATCAGGAGCAACTATAACACAACAATCCACCAACATGCAACAAAATTCTTATATACAACAAAATATAATGCCGCTGCAACTATCTCAACAACAGCAGCAACAACAGCAACCGCAAAATTATATGCAACAATATAATGCCACACCGCACAATATGCCACCCCGATCATCGCCACAGGCGCATCAACCGCGTGTACCATATTCTGCCAACTATAATAATAACAGTAGATTACAACAACCTTTAGTGATGCATCAACAACGTCCCTTGGGTAATTGTCACCAGCAACAAGTGACGTCGTCTACGCATCCGCATCAGCAGGTCCAGAATCTCGATCAACTTGGACAGAACTCAAGCTTACGCGGGCTTCTCGCACATAATCCTTCCCTTCCGCCGCCCCCTTATCCGTCATACCGAGCATCCACCAATCACGTGTCGTATCGATTACCACCTGGATATAGATATTCCTCAAGTGGTAGCCCTCAGAGAGGACCGGGGATGGTTCAAGTACCACCGCATCACGCGTATCAACAGGCAAATGCGCCCGTTGGAACGACACGTCTGCCTCAATGTAATTTAACTCCCCCATCAACGCAACATCTCGGAAGTTATCCCATGCAACATCGTTGGCATATACCTCAGCAAGCGAATCCTTGCCTTCCCTCTTATACCTCGACATCTCGACCTCAACACGCAGCTCCCAATATGACAGTCCTTCCTACCAATGAGGGATACAAAATTACTTTAAGAAATCAACAGACCAACAATAATCAAAAATATAATGCCAATGTCGGAAATGTTAATTCGTGCGATAATTCGTCGCAGTCGCAAAATTCTACCGTTTCGTTGTTACAAGCTGTCAGTTCGTCGATACCTAAAACGCCTAGTCCTGTTACCACGCCTGGCAAATCAGACGATACTGAGAAAAGTCTAGATAAGTTTTGTCAGAAATCATTGAGTGATCTGATGCTCACTATCGCGAAATTAGATAGTAATGGAATTTTAGTAATACCGGAAGCTCAAAGAAATCAAATGGATTCGACGCAAGTTGATAGTTCCACCGACGAAGATATAAACTCCATGACAGAAAATACAACAGGTTGGTTATTAGACCTCTAATTAGCTTAAATTATAAATAAATAAATTTATATCTTCATCATGTTGAGAAATATGTTTAATTTTTTCATTCTATTATGTCTTTTCCAGCAGACAATTCGAAAAATACAACGACGCCTATGGTAATGAAAGATGATCCGAACGAAGATTGGTGCGCTGTCTGTATGGACGGAGGAGATGCGGTGCTATGTTGTGATAAATGTCCGAAAGTCTTCCATCTTTATTGTCATATACCTAGCTTAAAATCATTTCCGGAGTGAGTTTTCGAGTTCTCTCTACTAATCTATACTATTTTTATCTCGCTCTGTTACTTTTCGCTAGTTAATTTAATTATTTTGTTTAGTGAAAGTGAAACCTGGCAATGTATGTTGTGTACGAATGTACTCGATTGTTCAGACGATATATCGAGCAACGAAAAAAGACCAACTGGTATGAATAGTAAAGAATTACGAATTGCGCAAAGAATCGTCCTAGAACTCTATTGTCAATACGAGCAAAGTCTTCCTTTTCGGGAGGTTGTATCGAGCGAGGTAAATAAATTTTTATTGGATGATAGTTTTATTCAACGATCGAGCGATAAGCTAAAGTATAATATAATGATTTTTATCATCAGATCACAGATTACCATCGAATTATCAAGAAGCCGATTGCATTAGATATAATCAGGGATAAATTAAAGTCTGATCATACAGATCATTATACAGATCTGAGACAAGTCATGGCGGACATTAGACTCATGTTTAAAAACGCTTTCACTTACAATCCTGTAAGTTAATTAAGTCATTATTAACTCTTTATCTTTTATTGTTGTCTTCTCTTTGCATCTCTATTTGTTTTCTTTTTTTAGGTGGATTCTCAAGTATATCAAGAAGCTAGAAATTTAGAAGAATTTTTTGAAAAATTATTATTAAAATGGGCACCAAATTATGCATATGATGATCCTTTTCTCGCACCTGAAAAAGATGAAGACGAAGAAGTTTTTCCACCCAATAAAAAATATAGACGCATAATTAATGGTTAATAGGTTTCATATATATATATATATATATATATATATATATATATGTGTGTGTGTGTGTGTGTGTGTGTGTGCGTGCGTGTGTGTGTGTGTATGTGTGACACACACACACACACACACACACACACATGAAGAAATCATCAATTGTATCTTGTTGAGGATAATGATTTTGTCTAAAATTGGATTCCTTTACGATTATATACATAGGCTATTGTGTATATACACTGCCAGTACTAGGAAATCAATATTTTATATAATGTATATTATAGATTTTTTGTATTGACAGTGTATATTGGGACATCAATCAAATTGTAAACATTATATAATTAATAATTTGATAAATTGTGATAAGAACTATTGAAATTAGTTGTAATTCAACTACTTGTAATAATTGAGACATATCAAAAGAATTGCATATTAATAACATTGACTTATCATTGTGAAATATTGATATTATTAAATGAAAGAAAGATTACTTGACCAAAAATGTTTAAGATAAAATGCATATTCTTTTGCAGTGTTTTTTCAAAATTAATCCTATTACAAGTAGTTTGAGTAATATTTATCACAATCTATCAAATTATTGTGATAAATACTATCGAAACTGCTTAAAATAGGAATAACTTTAGAATACGTTGCGAAGCATGTGAAAGCATATGTGTTATATCTGAAGTATTTTTCGGTAATTAATCTTTTATTTCATTCATCTGATGATATCAATACTAGAGGTAGAAATCTATTCCTACTCCATCTAATATAGCATCGAGACTCGGGACTCACTCGTTCCCAAGTATCTATTCTTGATAACAGCGCTCCTGATAATCTAGAGTCTCGAGAATCCAGTTTCGCTGTCGGGAACGAGCGGGAGTGAGAGCAGATTTGCACGCCTCTAATCAATACTTCATACATGATAGCCAATATTACTAATTATAATTATAATAGTATAATTATATATATATATATATATATATATATATATATAATATATTAATATTATAATTATATATATTATATAATTATATATATTATAATTATTGATAGCCAATATTAAATATAATTTCTTTGATATGTTTCAATTATTGAAGATAATTTTATTTTAACGATATTTACATGTATGAGATGACATAATAGATTTTTAGTTAAATTTGACTAAATAATAATCTTTACATTAAGTTTATAGCTGAAATATATATCACATATATTTCACACTAGCACTTAAATATATATTATATATTTCTTTAAAAGTTTTATCGCCTTAGTAAACTTGCAGAATGCTTCTTAATATTATATATTTGATTAATAGGATAATTAATTTAATATACATCTGTTTGTTAAATAATATTTTTCAATCTTTTCATTGCATGAAAAATATTTTATACATATGTAGATAAGAATAAAATTTCGTTTATAATATTTTTACTAAGCACAGTTATTTTTACATAAATAGAGCATCTATTTTTTTTTTTAATAAAATTAATTTTTTAAAATGATAAGATAAACTGCAAGACTATTTCTTATTTTATTAGTTTTTATATATCAAACATTTTACACAGTGTACAACTTGATTTTTTTTTGTTATTGGATTTGTTTTGAATATTAAATTATATATAACTTATTTATAACATATGCGCCAAGTGCAATATTTCAAATGATAACCTGTGATGTTGTGACATTAATTTATATTACACGTATATTTAAGTATTTTATAATAAAAAAAGCTCTTTTGTTGAATATATGTATGTATAAAAAATCTTATATAAATATATAATTGTTTGTGCGCGCGCATATATACATACATATCTTCTAGTTTCCATAATAGGAAATTTTAGGATTCTCTCTATAAAAATCATTTTTCCTAGCGGATAACCAATCCACTCATTCTGCATTTATTTTCATGAAAATGGACTTTCAGAATTATTAGATTGGTAATACTGGTATCTCAAACAATAATAAAGATGGCATTTTGAAATGATAACCGTTTGATACTGTATAATTTTCTTTAGAAATATATTATCAATATAATTAGGATTTTATAAGATTGTGTATTATATTGTATTATAGTGTATATATATAAGATTGTTTATATCATTTCCTGTGAAAGAAAGTGAATGAACAAATATTCAATACATTTGATTGAAATGAACAATGAAGCGTCCAACATATTTATGACTTTAAAATCGTATTTGTATTGTAGAGGTGAGTATTTAATAAAATACTAAATCTTGAGTCATTTTAAAAGAAAAGTATTATAAATATCAATTATAAATAATGCTTTTATTTTATTATTTTAGATTAAAACGCTTTGGATTTATCTGCAGTTTAAATGCATTTTATTTGGTTTAACTTTTAATACATTCAAACATACAAAAGCTATATCACATTAATATTACATTATTTAATGCCTTCAAAAAGGCATTGTATGCTTTCCTTAAGTAAGTTATTTCTGTAAGTTATTTCTTGCTTCTTATATTGAGAAATTATACTTGCAGAAACATTGAATTTTATTCAGATTTTAATTATTACATTTAATACTTCTTTTTTTTGTAGATTTAGAAATTATTATGTGTAATATATAATATATAGAACAAGTATATACAAGAATATAATTACTTGCTTAGATTGTTAGATATTATTTAGAGAGCAAAATTAATTTACAATAATAATTACAATTTCAGATATTGCAAGCCATGGATTTAGAAGCTTCTATAGTGGATCGGTTACAAAAACTAAGGCAGTGGCAAATAGAACAACAAGAAAAGCTATTAAAACAACAACAAATGCAAAGAGAAGTTTTAAGCCATGAGCAGGACCGTATTTGCAAAGTACTTGGTTTGACAATAGGTGATCTTAATGATATTATAGAAAATACAGAAAACATGCATGCTACGCATGAGATAAAGGTAGATACAACAGAGCCAATATTAGATGAAACTTCAGTTTTGCAATGCAGTGTAGAAAATTCTAATAATGCATTTGAAATGATCGACAAAGGAGTATCAACAAATGCTAATGCATTGTGCGAAACTTGTGAAAATGAAGAAACTAAGGATTCAGATCATATTTCTGCAATCGTCGATAAAAATAAAAATTCTGTAAAACGTTTTAATTCTGGTATATTGTCACAAGGAGAAGAGTTAAGTAGCGATTTATTAATAGAAGGGATAAAACCACTATCATCGGATAATGTAGTTTCAAATAGATACATTTCAGTTGATGATATTCCTGTTCCCTCACCTAAAAAAGATTTTCAGACATTACTGGAAGAGAAATTGAAAAGAGAATTAGAAGCTATGTCAAATGTGTGCACTGATGTAGAAACTAAACCAAAGAAACCATTCCTTAAGAAAGGCCAAGGACTTTCGAGATTTAAGATTTCTAAAAATTCAAAACAGTCAACAATTACAAAGAAACATAATACATTTTTGTCTTCTAAACCATGTATTAATAAAAGTGATAAAAGCAGGAAATCTATACATAAAGATGTAATCTCCAAATCTCCAAATAATTCTATTATAAGTGGAAAACGACAATTAAATTTAAAAACTGTTCCATTACCAAGAAATAAGATCCTTAATAAAACCGAATATATTAGTCCAAGTAAACAAACTACATATAATGTTACTTCTAATCAATCCAAACATTTGCAAGAAATGAATATGTTGGATTTTGATTCAAAGACAGAAAGAGAATTGGAGGAGGTAAGGATATTTGAACTTTTAGAAGAAAAAGCGGAAAATTCTAGTTTCTGTTCAACATCAAGCACAGTCCTTGCATTTTTGCAGCAGTCCACACCGTTTAAAATAAAGAAGAGATTAAATTGTGCAAACAGTGAAGGCGATGTCGTAGTAAGGCAGCAAAATGACGAACAAACTAGCGATATAATCGAGCAGAAATCGATGTCTCAGCGATCTACACATATAGGAAATTTAAAACCCAAGATACAACAATTTGAGCACTTTGGTATTCGTAAACATTCTCGTAATTCCACCATCAAGCCTTACTCGGATACTATAAATGATACTCAAGAGGAAATACAGAAACATTCAACAATTGTCAATCAAATATCACAAAATAATAGAGCATATACAGATTATTTAAAAAATCATGAGATAGTAGCATTGTCATCAGATAGCGATGAAGAAGAAGATATTTCCAAAGGAAATAATGTAGCGAGCGATGATGAAGCGGGTGTAAATCATCGCGTTAGATTCTCGGAATATAACGAATATAGAACTATAGATTCAACTGACGTGACAGATAAATCTCTCTTGAGAGATCAAATCAAGAAACAAGACTGGAATGATCATTCCACTGATTCATCGGAATTGTCTGACATTGAAGAGAAATTGCCGTTAAATGATGGAAAAATGTCTCCCCTGAAAATGACAAATAGTGAAAAAGCAATTGATGCCTCAAGACGATCATTCTTGCAAGAAAATATAATGAAAGATTCATATTATCGTCTAACGCAAGCTGTAAATATTCCTGAAGAAAAAAATGCTTTGAATTGTGAAAACGAATTGCCAAACGAAAATATGTACGATGATAACGAGTCTACAATAGTGGAAGAAATTATTCAAACATCTGACGAAGAACAGTCATCGACATCATCATTATTATCAGATACTCATAGAGGACTGAATACGCTAGAAAGAAAAGAATATGTACTAAGAAATGAACTAGAAAAAATAACAATGGAGAAAATAGAAAAAATACATTCGAATGCGGAGGAGATCGATCAGCCATACGAAGATCGAACAAATCGGATGAATGGTTTCGAATCAGAACTTTTAAAAAGCCGTTTATTAGAACTCGAAAGAGAAATTGACATATTTCGAAAGGAAAGTGCAGCTCTGTTACTCCAACGTCGAAACCTACAAGAAGATCAGACGATATTGCATAAAAAATATGCGGAGAAGGAAAGAAATTTTGAGGAAAACAAAAGAAGAATAGAAAACCGATTAGAAGAAGAAAAAAAGAGACTGGCACGCGAGAGAATGGCAATGGAGAATAGAATTCGCGATGCTCAAGAGAAGGCGAGACAAAATAAAATAGAAAGACAGAAGGTGGAAAGCTTGGAAGAGCAATTGGAAAAATTGAGGGACGAACTGAATATCAGGGAGAGTAGGTGGAATGCCGCCGAATCGAGGTATAAAAGTGAGCTTCGCGTATTACGAGTAGAAATTTCAAAATTGAAAGAAGAAATCGCGACTTTGCAGAACATTAAAAAAACAAATATCAAAAATATCAGGAAGAGCACAAGTGGACAAATGATTACAAAAGCTATCAACCAAATTAATAAACGTATCATTGCGGCTCCGTCCAAAGAGCTTCCAACGAAGGCGTCTCAAGATTTATCAGATACTTCTCCGGATGCTTCTACTCACGACGATGATGATGAAGATAAAAACAGAAGCAAATCAATAGAATCGATTGTAAAATCGGTTAATGTAAATGACGATTTTGAACAAATAAAGAATATATCTGTAAATAATAAAGTAGAATCTAAACGAGCCAAGATTGGTTCACGGCCAAAATGCAATAAAACATTCGAGGGGAAGAGTAGCGCGAAGAAAAAACAATCTTTATACGAAAATTTATTGAAAGACGCAACATCGGATCTTCTGGAAGATCAAAATTCGATTTACATTAATCAAGATACGAGTGAATCGACAGATACGCAATTACGGAATGCAAGGAACGATGAAACATCCGATAAAAGTAACGATAAATCTCAACACATGTCCACAAACGAGGACCTCAGATGTACAATGATTTGCACTACAAGCAATACAGAAATACCGTTCTATAGATCACACGAAATGAATCAAAGTCCATCAGATAAAGATATAAGATTGCCTGACAAGAGTTTAAACCCTTCACCATGTCCCTCCTCTCTTCATCATCGGACTAGTGGAGGGAATACTAAAGATATCGTAAAACAGATTCAATATTCCGATGGACATATAGAGTACTGGTATCCGAACGGTAATGTTAAAAAAGTCTTTCCCGATCGAGAAGTTACAAAGATGATTTATTACAATGGAGATGTTCGTGAGACTGACAAGGATGGTAAAGTAAAATATTTCTACGCTACGACTCGGACATGGCATACGACGACTACTGATGGCTTGGAAATCTTAGAATTTCCCGAGTACGTTTTTATCTCCTTATATATATATATGGTATATATATATATATATCCTTATATATGTCGTCTCTTTATTACGTTTATTTATTTATATTCGCGCTTGATTTTTATTTGTACTTAAATAATCAATATAATGAGTAAAAATCTAATGAGTAAAAAATATATAGCGGACAAGTGGAGAAACGTGCATCCGATGGTACTGTTGAAGTATCGTTTCCGGATGGCGCTATACGAGTAGCACAAGCGGATGGTACGGAGAAATGGTCCTTACCAGATGGGACAGTAGCGCAAACCTTTATTAATGGCGATAAAATTCTGACTTTGTCGAATGGCCAGAGAGAAATTCACACGAAAGAGCATAAGGTAAGAACGAGTTTAATTCCACTTTATTATTTTAAAATGTACCATTTCATTACTTCGTATAAATCATTACGTTTTTTTTATCAAAGCTTATAAATATATTTCGACTAATATCCCGTATAATATTAAAATGTTTCAGAGACGAGAGTATCCCGATGGTACTGTAAAGATAGTGTATGCGGATGGTACTCAAGAAACACGATATTCCAGTGGGAGGAAACGATTAAAAGATAAAGACGGTAATCTTTTAATGGATTCGTATGATAATTAAGTTTTTCCATTAAGGATATTTTTTAATGGATTTTAGCAGGAATATGGTAAAGTAAGGAATCTCTCTATATTCTAAAATTGTCGCAAATGTCTCTGCTATTCTGCAATATTTCAATTACTTATTTATATTGTAAAGACATTGTTTTCATTATGAAGTTTTCTTTTAGTTTTTATTATTTTGTAATGGTATGTATATGAACTGAATGAAAATGTTGTTCTACTGATTAGTTATTGAAAAAAATTCTTAAAAATTCTAGATGCCAAAAATTTGCTATATAATTGGTATTCTAACAAATAATAATTTAATATTAATCTAGTAAAAAAGAATAGAATCTCAGTTTATAAAAAGAACAGTTAATCTGTAAATAACAAGATTTTGTAGATGAATAAAAAAGATCTACATTAAGTGTTTGTAAATGTATAGTTATAATTAATCTAAAGAATAAGCAATTCGTATTGTGCATAAAATAACTATTTTTATAAAAACTTAAAATTTAATATTAACTTTATTATAAGATGAAATTAATAATAAAGAGGAATATATTTTTTTAATTTACAAACAATTACAGGAGATACTTAATAGTGTCGCCACGAATATTTATTTGTCTTTATCTATAATATATATAAAGCATGTCATTGCAGATTGAAATCTGCATCCCTTCTTCTACATTACATATTATATAGAAACTTTTAAAAACCCCTTCACTTTCAACTTCGACAATTTCAGATCATGATGTGCGATTATCTATACATATGATGTGACTGATAATATTTAAACCGGAAGTGAAGGTATTTCTATTGCCTAGTTATTGTATTCTTATTAGCACTTTCTACTTGAATTTTTATAATTGTATTCCTCCCTCGAAAAATTAAAATTTATAAAAAAGTTAATATTGTGAAATGTTAAATATTTTGGGGCAATAATTTTCCAGGGTTTAACACGTTATCGTTAATAAACAATTATTCTAAAACAACGATAAAAACAATTATATGATAAGTTTAATATCAATAGTAACTTTTAAATATTACACACGGGCAAATTTATTTTTTATTAAAATGTAAGGAAATCAAGTAACATCGGGAATGAGAGATTAATCGAATTTAAAAAGAATAATCGATAAGAGAGAAATCGAACAATCGATTAGTCTCGATTGAACATTGCCCTTTTCTAGACATATCACACATTCTATATAATATATTCTACATATGCACATTACACGCGTAAACTCTAAACTGTAATCGATAAAGTCTTATTTTAAGTAACGTATGCGGGATCACAGTAATATGAAGGAACATCGAAATCTACGGCGCGACGCATAAATAAGTAATAGGAGCAAGAAAAATAACGAGGATAGAAAAGATATAGAGAAAAGTTGTTGGCAACGAGCGTGGTAAAGGCGATACCGATTATAATAGCGACGGTGGTGGCGACAGTCCAGTGGCAACAGCTGTAGCTAAAGCTTCTCGGAGAATTCTAGATCGAGGGAAATCGCGTCGCGTTACTTCTCGATGCGCGATTCGAGCCGCATCAGGGTCGAGCCGCGTCGCTTCTAACGTCACTTCTCGTCCGCGGGTCGTGTTTCTTTTTTTACGATGCGTGACGATTACACGTTACATTAAACACAACTGGACGAGAGAGCTAAATGCGGTCAGCGGATAGTTGGCGTACAACAACATTTCTGACATACGCCATGTCGCGCGCTTCCAGCTGATGTCCGTCCCTCGTTTGACGTTTCTCGGACATTTATTGGACGTTTATCGTTTTCTCCAGGTGCATATTCGCGATAGCCGAAATTGCACAGAGAAGGGTACCTTTTTAGCAGGCGTCTTCTCTCATGCGTGATTCGGTTGCGATCCAATAAATAATCGCTGCGTCGAGAGAATGGCCGAGTTGGATGACTTATTTCACACGGATCAATATGTAGGCCCGGAACGTCTCACCGATTTGTGCTTCAAGCTGATCTGCGAGAATCTCGACATCATCTCGGTAAAGGGAAGACGTGGTCATCGCATACTGCGAAAGGGAATAACCTTCCCGAGCGAGATATGCGACAAGATTATCGAATATGCTCAGCACAGCGAGGCGACCGAGGACGACGATTGTTTCTTCTCGATTTTCAAGAATTTAACGGCGACTCGACTAAAGCACGTTAAAATCTCCAATTGCAGCTTAACCGATGTCTCGGTTAACACACTCGTCAATCACAAGCTCTACGATTTAGAACTCACCGATTGTAGTAATTTAACAGAACTTTGTATCGAGTATATTAATGATAATTCGGAGAATCTGCACAATTTAGCGTTTCACGGGACTTCAATGGTCGTACCGTCAAGCTTAAATGCAGGTGAGATTGCTGAGCTATTCTATTCTAGTTTATCGTAATAACATTTGACAAGCAAATTGTTAGTTAAACTGTTTGCAATGTTTTATTGCAGCTGATTCATCCATCGATTACTACAAGCGAGGATATGTTTTTAAGACACCAAGTTTAAGACGTTTGGCACTAGGATATGTAGGAATACCTGCATCGGAATATGCCATACTTCTAAAAGGATTAACCCATCTCACGCACTTGGATCTGTCTAATAGTTTTGACATTAACACTTTTGAATTTTATTATCTGGTACCAAATTTAGTATCTTTAACTTTGTACAATGTCAAAGTTAATACCGACCCAAAGTCTTTTGTTAGGAACATCTGTCAGTTGAAGAATTTAAGGTATATCATATAAGTGTAAAATTTTCTTAGAATTACAAGTATTGCTAAATAATATATAAATCTATATTGAACAATATAAATTTAATAGACATATTTTTATAGGCATTTGGATATTTCACAATCGAATTACAAGCATGGACAGTTTGATAATCCTAATAAGATTTTATGTGATTTAGTGAATGGTTTACCCCAGTTAGTATCCTTAGATATCGGCGGCACAAATCTTGCGGGTAGAGGTGTAGCCGAACGTCCCATCGATACGAAAATTGAAGATTCTAACTTTGGTCAACTTTCTGACATACCTGGTCTCGCATCCAGAATAAATAAGCCGTTACAATTTTTAGGACTTTATGGTACTGCTCATGGTGCTTGCAGGAGGCATGATATACCTGCCAAAGTTGTGAGTTGTAATATATGATTATATTTGAATACATATAAGGACATCAATCTTTTCTTTGTATATAATATTGATTTTGACGTGGTTCAATTTTCAGGTGGCTGGTGATGCGAACGAAGATCAAATATTAATTGCAGCTCATGTTTGTATGGACAATAAGCAAGAATTATTACAAAAAGTACTGAGCGATTTGTATCATGTATTTAGGTATGAAAATTGTCATAGAATGGATCAAGCACTATGTACTGTTTTGGAAGCAATGGAAAAGCATCCAGCTCAGAAACATATACAGATATCAGGAAGGTATATGCAATATTCTTCTTACCTCTTTTTTTCTTTTTCTCTCTAGTAAACTTTATTATTTAAAAATTTTCCATTCCCGAGAAAAGTAATTGCAAAATTTAAGAAAACATTAATATTGTGCTAATAAAATTTTAATACTATATCGATATATGTTGCAGTGCTACATTATTTTACATAGTGAAGATGAAGGAAAAAGGTGAACTAGTAGCGCGAATGAAGAGGAGGATTATTAGTACCTTACTTGCCGGTATGAGCGCGCATAGAGATGAGGAGACTATGATGAGAAATGGTTGTTTGGCATTGTGTCAATTCCGCATACCACAAGATGTGGTTCGTATTATTTTCAATCTTTTAAGTTTTTGCATTGCAACATAATTGTAGTGTGCAGTTTGACCGAATAAATTCTCTGCAATTAAATTGCGCGACTTTTACATAGATAGAAAACGTTTTTCATCTGAATATGTAGCAAAAATATTAATCATTTTTATGATAATAATATAACTTTCATAACATTGTGTCTTCAGCATCATTCTTACTTTTGTAGATGTCAAATTATGAAGCGCTAGTAAAAGTACTTCTTCATTCAGCCAAACATTCGGAACCAGAAAGTTTTGTTCAAAGAATCGGTATATATTTATTAAACTCTTTGGCTTGTCAAGTGGAAGGCAAAGAAAAGAGATTACTTGGCAAATTGGGTTGTGTTAAGACTATGTTAGAATTGGTCGAATATAGAGTAGAATCTGGTATATTTGATGATGTATTAGAAGTCGCATGGTCAACAATGTGGAATATGACGGATGAAACATCCGTAAATTGCCAACGATTCTTAGATGAGAAAGGCATGGCGCTTTTCCTTTTATGTGTAAAGGTATGATTTTATTATACATGTTTGTTTATGATTACATTGTGCGCTTAATTCGTTATTTTCATTCATGATACAATAATATTTGTTTCGTTTAGCAATATCCACATAAGGAAGAATTGTTGAGAAATATGATGGGTTTACTCGGCAATGTGGCGGAAGTTGAATATCTTCGGATCCACCTTATGCAAGAACGATATGTAACTGTTTTTGCCAGTCTGTTACGTTCTAATAGCGATGGAATTGAGGTTTTGTATTTTTTTCTCTCTTTTTCTTTGATTCATTGTTAATCGTCTATTTTAATTTTATTTGAACATTTTTATTATTCAAAATAGCAACAGATATATTTCTTTACTTGTACAGGTTCCATATAATGCCGCTGGTATATTGGCACACATGGCATCTGATGGTCTTGAAGCTTGGACGATAGAAAAGCCGACGCGTAACGAGGTTCTTAAATACATGGTACAAGCAATTGAAAGTTGGGATTTAAATGCAGAGCGTAATATTAATTATCGTTCGTTCGGACCACTATTGCGTTTATTGGATGTATATCATACTTCTCCTTGTCAACACTGGGCTGCTTGGGCTCTTGCCAATCTCACCAAAGTATATCGTATGTATGCTCGATATTAATGTATGCTTGTATTATGTGTTGTTGAATATATATGCGCATCTATTAGTGTATTCGTGTCTGCGACTATTTTACAATATAATCCGATCTGTTTTAGCATTCAAATATTGCGCATTGGTAGTAAAAGAAGGAGGGATGGAGAAACTACACACAGTAATAGCGGATCCCAGACCATACGAACGTATAAAAGAACTCGCAAATTTAGTGATTGAA